TTATTTTTTTTTTATTATTACTATTATTGTTATTATTAATATTTTTATTAATATTAGTTTATTATAATTTTTGTTTTATTATTTAATTATTATTGTAATTATTTTTTTTATGATGATTATTTTCACTATTATTATTATTATTATTATTTATATTATTATTATTATTTTATTATTGTCAGCATTATTATTAATATCTTTTATAATTATTTTATTTTCATTTTTATTTTTTATAATTATTATTATTGTTATTTATTATCATCATTATTACAGTTATTATTGTAGCTATTATTGGAATTTTTATTATCATTATTGTTTTCATTATTATTATTTTTTTTTACCTTATTATTATTGCTGTTATTACTAATATTACTTTATAAACATTATTTTTATTATTATTACCTTTTTTTTATTAGTATTATTTACTCTTAAAGATCAAAGTTTATCTTGGATGAATAACCTGCGTAAGTGATTATTATGAGTTAGTCTCATCAATTATCTATAACATCAACATTATTAAAAATCAATAATTAAAACGATCAATAATCAGTTAAATGAAATATCAATGAAAACTGTTTTTAAGTCACACTTAGAATATTGAATGTTGATTTTTAAATTCTGTAACAGTAGAAACGAGTCACTGCTGTTTTATCGATAAACACATCATTGATTGATTGATTGATTGATTGATTGATTTTCAGACTGCAGGACATGGAGCTTCAGTACCGTAAAGAGAAAGAAGAAGCCGACCTTCTGCTGGAACAACACAGACTGGTACATCTACACATCAGCTGATCGACGGCACAATAACAGCTGATTAACGATTGATAAAAGTGATCAATCTGTGTGTGTGTGTGTGTGTGTGTGCAGTATGCAGACAGTGACAGTGGAGACGACTCTGACAAACGTTCCTGTGAAGAGAGCTGGAGGCTGATCTCCTCACTGAGAGAGAAACTACCTGCTAACAAGGTAAACACACCCGGAACCTTTCTCACCCGGAACCTTTCTCACCCAGAACCTTTCTCACCCGGAACCTTTCTCACCCGGAACCTTTCTCACCCGGAACCTTTCTCACCCGGAACCTTTCTCACCCGGAACCTTTCTCACCCGGAACCTTTCTTCCCCGAACCTTTCTCACCCGGAACCTTTCTCACCCGGAACCTTTCTCACCCGGAACCTTTCTTCCCCGAACCTTTCTCACCCGGAACCTTTCTTCCCCGAACCTTTCTCACCCGGAACCTTTCTCACCCGGAACCTTTCTTCCCCGAACCTTTCTCACCCGGAACCTTTCTCACCCGGAACCTTTCTTCCCCGAACCTTTCTCACCCGGAACCTTTCTTCCCCGAACCTTTCTCACCCGGAACCTTTCTCACCCGGAACCTTTCTCACCCGGAACCTTTCTTCCCCGAACCTTTCTCACCCGGAACCTTTCTCACCCGGAACCTTTCTTCCCCGAACTTTTCTCACCCGGAACCTTTCTCACCCAGAACCTTTCTCACCTGGAACCTTCCTCACCCAGAACCTGTCTCACCCGGAACCTTTCTCACCCGGAACCTTTCTCACCCAGAACCTTTCTCACTGGGAACCTTTCTCACCGGGAACCTTTCTCACCCAGAACCTTTCTCACCTGGAACCTTTCTCACTGGGAACCTTTCTCACCGGGAACCTTTCTCACCTGGAACCTTTCTCACCCAGAACCTTTCTCACCTGGAACCTTTCTCACCCGGAACCTTTCTCACCCAGAACCTTTCTCACCTGGAACCTTTCTCACCCGGAACCTTTCTCACCCAGAACCTTTCTCACTGGGAACCTTTCTCACCGGGAACCTTTCTCACCTGGAACCTTTCTCACCCGGAACCTTTCTCACCCAGAACCTTTCTCACCTGGAACCTTTCTCACCCAGAACCTTTCTCACCTGGAACCTTTCTCACCCGGAACCTTTCTCACCCAGAACCTTTCTCACTGGGAACCTTTCTCACCGGGAACCTTTCTCACCTGGAACCTTTCTCACCCGGAACCTTTCTCACCCAGAACCTTTCTCACCTGGAACCTTTCTCACCCAGAACCTTTCTCACCGGGAACCTTTCTCACCGGGAACCTTTCTCACCTGGAACCTTTCTCACCCGGAACCTTTCTCACCCAGAACCTGTCTCACCCGGAACCTTTCTCACCCGGAACCTTTCTCACCCGGAACCTTTCTCACCCAGAACCTTTCTCACCGGGAACCTTTCTTACCGGGAACCTTTCTCACCTGGAACCTTTCTCACCCGGAACCTTTCTCACCCAGAACCTGTCTCACCCGGAACCTTTCTCACCCGGAACCTTTCCTACCCGGAACCTTTCTCACCTGTTGTTTCTCCTCCCCTGTGCTCAGGTTCAGTCCATCGTGAAGCGCTGCGGTCTGCCCAGCAGTGGGAAGAGGAGAGAACCTCTCCGAGTTTATCAGATCCCTCAGAGGAGGAGGATCAGTAAAGACCCCAAACGTGTGACCATGGAGGACCTCCGCATGCAGGCCGTCAAAGAGATCTGCTACGAGGTCAGAGACACACACACACACTAACACACTAACACACACAGTAACACACACACACACAGTAACACACACACACACACACAGTAACACACACACACACAGTAACACACACACACACACTAACACACACAGTAACACACACACACACACACACACAGTAACACACACACACACACACACAGTAACACACACACACACAGTAACACACACACACACACTAACACACACAGTAACACACACACACACACACAGTAACACACTCACACACACACACACAGTTGTCTCTAGTAGAGGTCCCTCGGTGGTCTCCAGGTGGTCTCAGTTTGTGTGTTTATGGGCGAGGTCTGACCTTGTACTGGTCTGATCCGCTCTCCCAGTCTAACCAGTGCTCTGCTCCTGTAGTTCTGATGTTCTCCTCTGTGTGGCGCCCCCTGCAGGTGGCTCTGGGGGACTTCCGTCACTCTCGTCAGGAGATCGAAGCGCTGTCCATCGTCAAGATGAAGGAACTGTGCCGCATGTACGCCAAGAAGGACTCCAACGAGAAGGACAGCTGGAGGGCCGTGTCCCAGGACGTCTGCGACACCGTGGGCATCGGCGAGGAGAGGAGCCCCCCCGCCGAGGAGCGGGACGGAGGCGGAGACGGCGTGGGAGAGAAAGGAGAAGGAGGAGGAGGAGGAGGAGGGAAAAACAAAATGTACGACCTGAAGGCGCACATCGACAAACTGACCGACATCCTGGAGGTGAGTCAGCGGGTCTGAGTGATGATGTCATCAATGTCATCTGTCTCACCTGTGATAATGTCATCAATGTCATGTGTCTCACCTGTGATGATGTCATTGATGTCATCTGTCTCACCTGTGATGATGTCATTGATGTCATCTGTCTCACCTGTGATGATGTCATCCGTCTCACCTGTGATGATGTCTCACCTGTGATGATGTCATCTGTCTCACCTGTGATGATGTCATGTGTCTCACCTGTGATGATGTCATCTGTCTCACCTGTGATGATGTCTCACCTGTGATGATGTCATCTGTGTCACCTGTGATGATGTCATCTGTGTCACCTGTGATGATGTCATCTGTGTCACCTGTGATGATGTCTCACCTTTGATGATGTCATCTGTCTCACCTGTGATGATGTCATCTGTCTCACCTGTGATGATGTCGTCTGTCTCACCTGTGATGATGTCATCTGTCTCACCTGTGATGATGTCATCTGTCTCACCTGTGATGATGTCTCACCTGTGATGATGTCATCTGTGTCACCTGTGATGATGTCATCTGTGTCACCTGTGATGATGTCATCCGTCTCACCTGTGATGATGTCATCTGTGTCACCTGTGATGATGTCTCACCTTTGATGATGTCATCTGTCTCACCTGTGATGATGTCATCTGTCTCACCTGTGATGATGTCGTCTGTCTCACCTGTGATGATGTCATCTGTCTCACCTGTGATGATGTCATCTGTCTCACCTGTGATGATGTCTCACCTGTGATAATGTCATCTGTGTCACCTGTGATGTCATCTGTGTCACCTGTGATGATGTCATCCGTCTCACCTGTGATGATGTCATCTGTGTCACCTGTGATGATGTCATCTGTGTCACCTGTGATGATGTCATCTGTCTCACCTGTGATGATGTCATCCGTCTCACCTGTGATGATGTCATCTGTCTCACCTGTGTTTCTCCTGCAGGAGGTGAAGCTGCAGAACAACATGAAGGACGAGGAGATCAAATCTCTGAGGGACAGAATGATCAAGATGGAGAGCATCATACCTGTGCAGGTACGTCCTCACCTCGCCACCGTCCCTCAGACGACCTCCAGAGTCCCGCTGACCCGCTTCTCTTCTCCTGTTTCAGGATGATGACGTTAACGGCGAGGACGACGACTCGCCCTACAGAGAAGGGGGCGGGGCCGAGGATAACCACCAGCATCCTGAGGTCAGAGTGAAGCGCCTGATGGAGGAGGACCCGGCGTTCAGGAGAGGGCGCCTCCGCTGGCTGAAACAGGAACAGCAACGGATCCTGAACCTGCAGCAGCAGAACATCACCAAGAAACTGCGAGGACAGACCCAGAACCAAGGTGGGCGGGTCACATGACTCGGCACAGGTCACATGACAGAGTGAAGAGTTTGACCTCCTGTATCTCCTCCTCCTCCTGCAGGTCAGAGCGCCCCCGTCGTCCCCGTTCACCTCCCCGGGACCGGGCGCTTCATCCCGCCGCAGGAGTGCAAGCTCAAGTTTCCCTTTAAGAGTAACCCCGCCCACAGGTTGTCATGGGGACCGGCCAGCGCCGCCCTGCAGGCTCTCGGTCTGGGGGAGGGAGGGGAAGAGCGGGAACAGAGGGAGGAGATCGGAGGAGGAGAGGATGACCATAACACCTCCTCCTCACCACCTCCTCCTCTTCAGGGTCAGCCCCCTGCTCTCTTGCCCCTCCCCTTTCAGGCTCCGCCCCCTCGTATGCGCACTCCTAGCCCACATCGTGCATGGCAACAGCGTAACCAAGGCAACCAGGGTGGTTTCCACTTCCATCACCAAGGGAACAACCAAAGCCAGCCACGCCGCTACCGCCGCAACTCCCTGGACGGCTCCTCCAACGGCAACAGTAACCTTAACAACGACCAGCATCACGGCGGGGGTGGGGGCGGTCACCAGGGGCGACCGAGACAGAGAAGGGGGGTGTCACCGGGGCCAGGGGGGGAGAGAGGAGGGGGGCGAGGAGGAGGAGGAGGCGGGGGGCGGGACAGAGACATGGGCTTCCATTATAACCATCACCAGCAGCACCAGTACCACCACCACCCCTACTACAACTCCCACAATGCACCATTCCAGCCACAGCCAAACTACCACAGCCTGCCGCGCTCCGGTGCCCCGCCCCCTCCTCCGGATATGCTGCTGGGAGTGGTGCCGCCGCAATGTGGGTGGGGCTTCACAACCCCGCCCAGGATGAGACGCCAGTTCAGCGCGCCAGACCTCAAAAACAACAAGGAGACCCCCATCTGACCTCTGACCCCACCTGACAGCAGAGAGCTTCCTGATTGGCTGCAGGAAACAGGAAACTGTCCTGATGCTGTACAGAGCTGTGTGTGTTTGTGTGTTTGTGTTGATATACTCGTGAGGACCTGGACACATAACCGTTTTTTTGGGGACAGTCGTGTCTGAGTGGACCGTTTGATCGATCCCCGATCAGATCAATTCTTCAGTGATTTCTACAACTTTGTTTGAAACTCTATACTGCCCTCTGCTGGTAGATTCATGTAAAGTCAACGTAAAGAAACTGAAAGGTGTCCTCATAGTTTTGAAAAGACACTAGTGTGTGTGTGTGTGTGTGTGTGTGTGTGTGTGTGTGTGTGTGTGGGAGCACTTTGACAGACTGTCTCACACACACACCCAGTACCTTTAATCCTGCTGTTCATATGTGTGTGCGTGCGTGCGTGTGCGTGTGTGTGTGTGGCTTGCACATAGCCTTCACATTAGCATTAGTGAGTTTCAGCCGTTGCCATGGTGACACTGTTTGCTGATGTGGACGGAGGATGATAAACCTTTAATTTTGTTTTGTTTATTTAATCGACGGCTGAAGTTCTGATGATTTTAAAGATGGAGGTTTTTATTAGGTTTTGTTTTTGGCTGATTTTTGACATGAAGCTTCTGATACGTAATCAATAACTGAGGCGATCGCTCTCGGGACGACCTTTTGGAAGCGTTACTCTCTGGTTAAAGCTGGGTGTTCTGTAAAGGTGGAGTGTGTTGGGTTGTTGTTTTTTTTTTGTCTGGCTGAATAGTTTTACTGAAGTGAGTTTTGGTCCTCCCCTTTAAGAGGCTAGCTGCGCTGTGATTGGCTATCGAACAGGGAGGAATGGGGGCTAATTAGCTTAGCAGGCGAATGTCGTAAGTGATGAGATCCTATAAGTGTCAAATTTTGCACCGATGAAGTTTAACCCCCAATCTCCACCTTCATCCTGATCGTCTCCTAAAAGGTCGTATCCTCCGATCGTAGCGGATCGTAACCATTCAAGTTAACGTGTCTAGAAGTAGATTTCCTCCTCTGGAAGGACACAATCTACTGCTTATATGTCTATGTGTCTGTCTTTAGAGAGACGACTCGTTATCCTGCGATTGATCGTGAATCTGCAGGTTCTTGTGAGTTCTCACGGTCCCTGCTGTCTCTAATTCGCCACAAAATCCGCCTCACAAACGGATGCAGTAAGAATCGGCAGACGGCGAAAATCGCCGTTGTTCCGGACGCGGTGGAAATTGGGGGTTAGCCTAGCTTCCTAGCCCAGCCTACCAGGGCAGCATTTGTGTTGTACGGGATTGTTATTATTTTATCTCTGAAAGGACGTAAAAAAAAAAAACTTGGACCGTTAAAGGGACGGGCGTGTTCGTGATCGTCCGAAGTTTGACGCTCTTTAAAAACACGGACTGTTCCTTTAAGTGTTTCGTTGTTGTTTTTTTTTGTCCTAAAGCTTGAAGCCGGTATTTCCCGACTTTCTCGTGTGACTTGAACGCTGCGTTGCTGGGAGCTACAAACCAAAGAGAAGTGCTCTGTGGCGCCCCCTGCAGGGCTGCTGCTGAACAGACGGAGGGTGAAGGAGGCGGAGTCGAGGCGGATCGGCGTGTGGAATCTTTTCTAAGAGCAGTTTGTGTATATCTGAAGTTTATCTGAAGTTTATCTGAAGTTTTTTGAAGATGAATTTTTTCTGAAAACAGGCGGCGACACCTTCGCTGTCTCTGGGAATTATGGGAAATGTAGGAAGTGATGCCTCATGGGAGATTTGAGATTGGTGTCTACGGGATGATGGTGGGAGGAGTTTGAAACATGATGGATTCTGATGGATGTAGGGTCGCGTTAAGAGGGGATTATGGGAACTGTAGGAAGAGACGGCTGAAGGAAGGAGCGTGCGAGAAAACGTAAAAAAGACGCTGAAACGTCGGAAACCGAGACGAAAAAACGAGACGCCTGCCTTCAGGGACGACAGGAAGTTGGACATCTGTGGCTTTGTCTCATTTCCTGCTGCTTTTAAAGTGAGACATAAACAGACACTGCTGTTGTCATGGTTACCTCAGAACAACAGATAATCGATCGTTGACGCTGAGAGTCGCCGTAGAAACAGGACGGCGTGGATTCAGTTACAGCCGATACGCCGCAGATTTCCACCTTTCCACGTCACCCTGAATGTGGCGTCCGAGCGTTACTGTCCAGAGATAAGCCCCGCCCACGCTGAGCTAGGCGGGGCCTTTGCTGTTGGGTGACGCCTTCACGCGCTCTGTGACTGAACCAATCGGGGCGAGAGCTCCCCAGACGGAGTGAGTTGCCACGGCAACCGTACTGATAATTCTGACAAAAACACTAGAGTTGATGGTGATTGGTCGGCGGGGCGATGACATCAGCAGGAGTGTTTTCCTGCTTCGTTTTGCTGTTTGTGATCCGACCAATCACAGGACAATCTGAAACCTGCTGCCGGCGCCGGGCATGATGGGAGATGATGTTCCTTCTATTATATCTTTATTATTATTATTATTGTTTTTTTTATTTCCATCTCACGGTTCTGATTGGCTCCTGTACTGCCTGCTTTTCTGAGAACTTAACTCCGCCTACATGTGCGCTCTGTGATGTCATCATGGCGTCATGACGATAAAGTTTTACCTGTTTCACCTGTCGGACATGTTGGGGTCACCCTCATGCACCCACCCTGTCTGAGTGTGTGTGTATGTGTGTGTGCGTGTACGTGTGTGTGTGTGTGTGTTGTCTTCTCATTTTTTTGTTAGTGTTTAATCTTGGGAAGGTTTGAGGAGGAGGGGCCTGGGGATGCTGTTGTCGTGGCAACCCAACTTCAGAATTCCATAACAGTGATTGCCCCGCCCCCCCAAGCCCATTCTTTACACCTTTGCTCCAATCATGACCTCAGAATCTGTGACGTCACAGCATGATGTCACTACAGGACGTCCTCTTATTGGCCGAGAGCCCCTTGGTGTGTTTGTTTGTTTGTTTGTTTGTTTGTTTGTTTGTTGTTTTCAGGATCCAATCTCAGGCTCTCCCTGTAAACAACACCAGGCAATAAAGAGTTAAAGACTGAACACCTGACCACGCCTCCTTTCTTCTGTCCACACAGAGCGGGAAACAGTGATGGAAGATCAGTTCATTTGACTGAATCTGTAGAATCGGTTCATTCAAAAGATTCGTTCAAAAGATTCGTTCACTGAAGCAGTCAGTGTTTCGGAGCCCCGAGTGAGTGACACGGCGGCGAGTTCGTTCATTCGCCCCTCCCCTCTCCTGCTGCTGAAGTCAGCACGGCGTTCACTGGGTGACTCATTTCGTTCATTCGCGAGCAGCACGCCACTAAACGAGCGCGAGTCGTCGTTCTTTAATATCGTAGAAAAGTGGCGAGATTAAAAATAAAGATGTCAGCTGTAGCGAGGATTCAGAGACTTTTAAAGTCGATACGCTGCTTTAGCCGAGCGCCATCACGGCGACTCTGCGCGATGTCGGTTTCAGGAAGTGGAGAAAATCAGCTTCAAATTCCTTTAATGGCGGGAGGCGGAGCCAAGTCTTCCATCGCTGCAGGAAGGATGGCGTTAAGGTTTAGAGACAGAAGGATTAATTCGACAGTCTAGACCAACACAAACACAGACTAGAGCGAGGATTTCCACTCAAACAGGAACTAAGAGTCACTGAGTCGACCTTTAATGTCGGACAGTTCAGGTTTTTAAATGATCGAAAAAACGAAAAATACAAACAAACAAGGTCAGGTATGATCAATATCAGTAAAGGTCTACATCTATGCTGGTCTACATCTATGATGGTCTACATCTATGCTGGTCTACATCTATGGTGGTCTACATCTATGGTGGTCTACATCTATGCTGGTCTACATCTATGGTGGTCTACATCTATGGTGGTCTACATCTATGCTGGTCTACATCTATGATGGTCTACATCTATGGTGGTCTACATCTATGGTGGTCTACATCTATGCTGGTCTACATCTTTGGTGGTCCACATCTATGCTGGTTTACATCTATGTTGGTCTACATCTATGCTGGTCTACATCTACGATGGTCTACATCTATGCTGGTCCACATCTAAGCTGGTCTACATCTATGTTGGTCTACATCTATGATGTCTACATCTATGCTGGTCTACATCTATGCTGGTCCACATCTATGTTGGTCTACATCTATGTTGGTCTACATCTATGATGTCTACATCTATGATGGTCTACATCTATGGTGGTCTACATCTATGGTGGTCTATGGTTCGGGTTCTCTGGCTCCTTTTAAATTGAACCCGTTTTTCTCGCTGACGTGAAAAAACCTCTCTGGTCTGGACGACAACGATAACAGAGACGAGTTTAAGAAAAACGAAGAGGAGCAGGTATCAGCGGACCAACAGCTGATCTCTGAGTGTTATCAGACTTCCTGTCCCGGCTCCAGCTGTCAATCATCACACTCACACTCACACTCACACACACACTGTGCGTACATCAACTCCTTCCTCCTCCTGTCTCCAGTTCTCCTCTCCAGACGCTCACAGACCTTCACAGTCTGACTCGGCTCTGGGTTCAGGTCTACCATGTACCCCCTCTTCCTCCTCCTCCTCCTGGATCAGGTTTCCGTGGCGACAGCGGCGCCAAAATGTCAGGATGGTACCGACACAGACGGACGGTGGACCAAGAACTGCGAGGCAGCTGGACTCGACGACGTCCCCGCAGGACTGGACCCCATGATCAAGGTAATGGAAGAACTGAACCAAGACCGGACCAGAAACAAGAACCAAAGTCCTGAGTCAGAAGACTAGACACAGACTAGACCAAGACTAGAACCAAGACTAGAACCAAGACTCGACTGACACAGTTTTTATTTTCAATAAACTCCATCATGATATCAGACGATAAAAACCTGAAAACTCAGACAAGAACCGAGTGACGAGAATAAACTCATGATCCGAACGTTTTTGACCAGAATGAGAAAAATAACGACTGTGAAGTTTGTTAAAACAGGAACACAAAAACATGAAACAGACGAGAGAGAGAGAGAGTGAGGGAAAAAAGACGAGAAAGAAACTGGAATCAAAATAATGACGGGAGTCAAACTGAAAACATTTATATATATAAAACATACATCAGTGTTAAACTTGTACTGTATGTATTAGTATAAATTATATATATATATAAAACATACATCAGTATTATACTTGTACTGTATGTATTAGTATAAATTATTTATATATATGTATATATATAACATACATCAGTATTATACTTGTACTGTATATATTAGTATAAATTATATATATATATAAAACATACATCAGTATTATACTTGTACTGTATATATTAGTATAAATTATATATATATATAAAACATACATCAGTATTATACTTGTACTGTATATATTAGTATAAATTATATATATATATATAACATACATCAGTATTATACTTGTACTGTATATATTAGTATAAATTATATATATATATAAAACATACATCAGTATTATACTTGTACTGTATATATTAGTATAAATTATATATATATATATAACATACATCAGTATTATACTTGTACTGTATATATTAGTATAAATTATATATATATATAAAACATACATCAGTATTATACTTGTACTGTATATATTAGTATAAATTATATATATATATATAACATACATCAGTGTTATACTTGTACTGTATATATTAGTATAAATTATTTCCAGAATTAACGAGAGTCAGAGTGAAATTAGAAATTAAAGCAGAATCTTTTATTTTATAGTTTTTTTGTCACGTTCATGTTAAACAAGGTCAACGGTGAAATGAAACGCCGTGGATGAGAGGAGCGCTCGACTCAACGGAGTACAGATAAAAACAGACACTTAGTCCTGAAGACAGGGGGCGCTGTAAACTCTGGGGTCTTTCAGGCAGAAGTTAAACTGTCTGTCAGCAGAGACTCAACTTCCTGTTCCTGACGACCAGACGGTTGTTAGACAGGAAGTCCTGACAGTTTTCTTCTTCTACTCTCTGTTTTAGGTTCTGCTGTTCCCTGATAACCTGTTCTCCAGCTTATCCTGGTCCTCCTTCCAGGTCTTCACAGACCTACATCAGCTCGACCTCACGGGGAACAAGGTGACGGAAATATCTTCGTTTGTTGACGTTTCCTCTTTAGTTACTGTTACAGAAGCTCCGCCCACAGTGGGAAGTCCTTCCTGATTGGTGGGACGAAGTCAGGAGGGAAATTTACCGTCAGAAAGCGTTTTTACCCCGGAGCGAGATGATCTTTGGTTTTTGACCTTCAGCCTTTCTCTGGTCCAGGTTCCAGAGGTCAGACCAAGCGAGTCTCCGCTCCTGCCCACCCTCAGTGTCCTTAAACTGGGCTCGAACCGTCTGACCTCCCTCCCAGACCACGCCTTCACCGCCTGCCCGGCTCTGACAGAACTTTACCTGGACAACAACACGATCCAGACCATAAGAGACCAGACCTTCTCTGGACTGGGTAAACTCCAGGTCAGAGGACCATCATGATCGTTTTCGTTAGAAACTTTCATTTCACTTTAGTTTGAATAAAAGCTTCTAAATCATGATTAAAATATCCTTCAGATTTCATCTTCTACAGCAGCTTCTCCTCCTCCTCCTCTGGTTCCTTCTCATTCGCTCTCCTTCTTTTCCAGATCCTAGACTTGTCATCCAATCACATCAAGGTTCTCCCTGCGCTCATGCTCCACCCCCTCCGTGCCATCGAGTTCCTGTACCTCGAGAAAAACAAGGTGACCCGCCTCAGTAAGAACACGATCACAGGACTGAAAATCTGCCGTTTTAGACCAGAAACACTCGGACCTGAAGAGACGGAAGAACTCCGACTCTGAAACATGTGAGGAAGATGGACTTGGTGGAACCAGGACTCTACGTTCTTCAGGTCTCATGGTGACAGAGAGTCAGGGTCAGGGTCAGGTTTGAAGGTTTACCCCCGACCTCCACCTTCATCCTGATGGTCTCCTAAAAGGTCGTATCCTCCGATCGTAGCTGATCGTAACCGTTCAAGTTAACGTGTCGATTTACACCGACTTCTTTCCGTTCCTCTGCGGATCGCCGGACTCCTCAGCTGATCACAAGAGTTCTATTTTTTCTGGACGCCGGAGCATGGCGGATAAATTCAGCACAGATTAACCCGTGCTGGAAAGGAAGTCGGGCACAGACACAAAATAAAACATCCGGCTTCTTTTCAAAATAAAACACAACCTTTCACTTGTTTGGGCGGAGACGAACAGGTGAAAGGTTTGCGTAGGAACCCTGGGTGGAAGTTAGATTTGAGGGTCAGGACCTTCCAAACACGGTGAATCCTCGTTAGCGTCACTGACCTTCCCTGTTGTTGTCGTCTGTGTGGGACGGCCTTCCACCTCGCTGTTTAACCTTCTATAAACCCGATCACCTCAGCCTACGTCTGAAACGTTTTCTCTCCTTTCAGATCCGGCTCATGCCTGACGGTTGGTTCAGTGCCAAGGAGGATGTTCCTTATCTGTTCTTCTCGTCCAATCCCTGGGACTGCACCTGTCCCAACCTCTACCTGACTGTCTATGTTCTTGAGTTTGACAGTAACTTCTACACCAGGTCAGGAGAAACCCACACGGGTAACCCCGAGAAAGTGGTAAGTCCAGAAACAGGAAGTCCCTTCTCTGAGGAGGAAGCAGATCAGACAGGATCCACTAACCCTGAGGTCTTGTTCTGGTCTTGTTCTGATCTTGAAGGAGTGTGGATCTCCACCGTCTCGTCGGGGTAAACCTGTAATGAGTCTCACTGAGTCGGATCTGTGTTCACCTGAAAGAGGGGACTTCCTCCAGCCCAGTAATCCTGCCGCAGATCCACCAACCACCCGTCCTCCTCCTACTCCACCCGCCACCTTCACCCAAGACCCTTACACCGAGTCCTACTGGGACTTCACTGACTACCAGGACTTCACGAGTTTAATGGAGTGGTCGAGTTACACAGGTCATGTGACTGCAGCTGGGTCCACCCTCATTCCAGAAGAACCAACGACCGAAGATCCGAACTACAGAACGACCCCGCTAACAACGACGACGAGACCTGCTAAGACCACGAAGGTAACGTATCCGATCCACTTTATTGACATAAAAACACTTTTAAAAAACAAGTTTACCAAAGTTCTAATAAAGTAAAACAGAAAAGAACTGAAAACATCGAGATGAGATAAATAAAAGCAGGAAAAAAAACATTTGAAATGAAATAAAAACACAAAAGCATCAGAGAAATAAAAGCCAAGAAATAGAAATGAGTTTGAAGAAGTTGTTCAAAGTGGAAAGAGTGAGCGAGGTTTTCATCTCGATTCGTTAAAGCCGAGAAAGCTCGGTCGCTGCTGAGTTTTTTAACGAGTTTTAGGGACGACGAGTTGGAGCTGATCAGCTGACCTGAAGGAAGGTGTGGGGGTGTAAACATTTAAGAGGTCAGAGGTCAACTGTGGTGCTGATCCATTCAAAGGTTTAAAAACAAACATTTTCAAATCAATTTAAAACAAATTTTAAAATGAATTTTACAAATCATTTTATAGTGAACCTTTAAATGAACTTCAAATAAATTCAAAAATGAATTCTAAAATGAATTTTTAAATGAATGATAGAATTAATTTTAAAATAAATCCTAAAATAAATTCTAAAATGATTTTAAAATAAATTCTAAAATAATTTTAAAATAAATTCTAAAATGATTTTAAAATAAATTCTAAAATAAATTCTGAAATGATTTTAAAATAAATCCTAAAATAAATTCTAAAATGATTTTAAAATAAATTCTAAAATAATTTTAAAATAAATTCTAAAATGATTTTAAAATAAATCCTAAAATAAATTCTGAAATGATTTTAAAATAAATCCTAAAATAAATTCTAAAATGATTTTAAAATAAATTCTAAAATAATTTTAAAATAAATTCTAAAATGATTTTAAAATAAATCCTAAAATAAATTCTGAAATGATTTTAAAATAAATCCTAAAATAAATTCTAAAATGATTTTAAAATAAATTCTAAAATGATTTTAAAATAAATTCTAAAATGATTTTAAAATAAATCCTAAAATGATTTTAAAATAAATTCTAAAATGATTTTAAAATAAATCCTAAAATAAATTCTGAAATGATTTTAAAATAAATCCTAAAATAAATTCTAAAATAATTTTTTAATAAATCCTAAAATAAATTCTAAAATGATTTTAAAATAAATCCCAAAATAAATTCTAAAATGATTTTAAAATAAATCCTAAAATAAATTCTGAAATTATTTTAAAATAAATCCTAAAATAAATTCTAAAATAATTTTATAATAAATCCTAAAATAAATTCTAAAATGATCTTAAAAAAATTCTAAAATGATTTTAAAATGAATTCTAAAATGTTTTTAAAATGAAGCCGATGGAGGGACGTCGGAATCGTAGTGATGTGGTCATGTTGTGGTTGTTAAAAGTCGAGCAGCAGCGTTTTAGACGAACTGTGAGAGAAACCGGATTAACACCGACGTGTTGAAGAGCGTTCCAGTCGACCAACCAGAGAGCAGAATAAAAACAGGAGTGACTCGTTAAAAATCAGTAAAAGATCAAACTGATTTATTTTTGGGAGAAAAGACTCGGATGATAAAAAAAACTGGATTTAACATCAGAGTTAAAATGATTGTCGACTTTTACACCGAGATTAAAAACTGTGGGTCTAAAATAATCAGGTACCAGAGGGTCCAGATCCCTGAGGGGGTCTCCTGGGCCCCAAAGAGGATTAATTCAGTTTTCTTTTGAATGTTGGATCAGGTCTGGAAAGTCTCAAGAACTGCTTCTGAAACCACGTCCACTCCTGCGACCGAGCCCACTTTTAAGACCACGCCCATCCCCGAGGCCACGCCCACTTTTAAGACCACTCCTGAGACCACACTCACTCCTGAGACCACATCTACTTCTAAGACCACGCCCACTCCTGAGACCACATCTACTTCTAAGATCACGCCCGCTCCTGAGACCACGCCCACTCCTGAGACCCCTGCTCCTGCAGTCCGCCCCTCTACGACCCGAAGTGGATCAGTCGGAGGATCAGGACTGTTCTGTTTCTGGCTCTTTGCTGGTCTCCTGCTGCTCGGCATCATCTCTGCAGGGTCCACGTTGGTGACTCTGTGGAGGATGAAGGTCTGGTACCTGAAGGTCTACAGACCGCTGAAGGACGCGGTAGGAAAGGAGGGAAGGAGCGAGGGACTGAGGCTGTTAGTGAACAAGAAGGAGACATCAGGAGGAGACATGAAGGTTCTGCACAGGTCTGTTCTGTTCATCCGCAGAGAGGGAGGAGAAGATGGAGAGGGAGGAGAAGATGGAGAGGGAGGAGAAGAACGGCGTCCCCTCGCTCTGAAGCCTTCAGGAGCAGGAGGAGGGGAGGAAAGAGGAGTGTACAGGAAGACCTGGAACCGTCTGATTAGCAGAGAGGAAGAGATAGAGGGGTGGAGGGATGTGGTGGAGGATGGAGGGAGGAGAGGAGGAGAGGGAGGTGGAGGAGGAATGACCACGAAGCGTTACAGTGTGATTGTGAGAGAGGAGAGGGAGAAAGGGGGAGAGGGGGGAGAGAGGCTTGACTGGGTGGTGGGTGGATGGGAGGTGAAAAAAGGCGGAGGAAGAGAGGAGGAGCAAAGGAGCAGCTGGGGGGAGTGGCTAGTAGACTACTTACCCAGAATGCCGTGGAGCGTGTCCATGCCCTCTGAGGAGAAGGAGGAGGAGCCTCAGAGGAGCCATGATGGCTGAAGAGATAAATTACATAAATATAAACACTAGATGACTCACGCACGCTGTTAGCCAATGGAGACCGACGTCCGCGCATGGCGGCCATCTTGCTAAGGGCAGCTCTCCCACTCCTAACACTCCAGTCTACAGTTCATGTAACATTAAAACAACCATAGATTGATTAATTTAAATAAACATTGATTAATTTTAATAACCATAGATCGATTAATTTTAAATTTATTTTTAAACAGTTTGTTTTGTCACAAACCTCAGAGTTTTAGTTCCTGTTTACTGAAGAATAATTGTAACCATGGATTTACATAAACATTAAACAGATAGGTAGAGTAATAGTTTAAACATTTAATCATTCCATGTTTGTTATATCAGTGATATTTCTGTATAACGATAATCTATAAATATTTATTTTCAGTATAAATTTCTGCCTCTTGTTTTTATTTGAGATGTTTCTAACAAACCAAACAGTTTGTAAATCATGTGTAACTTTTGTTGAATCTAAAGATCATTTCTGCCTCTTTAACTGATGAAAAATTACTGCGTCATCTTTGTACCTTTGGTCTCAGTCAGAGCGAGTCTGTTAGACAAGTTAGACAGCTGATAAACACAAACGAAGATCTTTATCTTAATCTGTCCAAACATCCCGACTCATAGCCACGTTATTAAGGTCTGTAATAAACTAAAGGATTTGTAAATCTGTCAAGATTTCCCATAATTCCCATATTTCCCATAATTCCGATGGAAAGTTTCCAATTTGGAATATTTCCAAAATTCCCAAGTTTAACTTTCCATCGAAAGTTTCTGGAAATTTTCCGCCCCTTTGCCCCAACCCTAGTTGGCGTCGTATTTTTCTGGTATAAATCACCATAAAGTCTCTCTGTGGAACAGTGGAGTGGTTTCTCTCTGTGGGGTGGGTGAGTGGATGGGTGGGTCCTGAAGTTGTAGTAGTTCATCTGAGTGTTCCTTTAATAAATCATTCTTCAAGCGTTGAGAGGTGGTCTGACGAGTTTTCTTTCTCAAAAATCCTAACATCTCAGAGTCCACACCAAACTTGTGGATCCCTTTGTCCTGGACTCTAGTCCTGGTCTGTCTCCGACACCTTCTAACCCCCAATTTTCACCGGCGATTTTGCCGTACGCCAATTCCTGCCGGATCCGTTTGTGAGGCAAACTTCATGGCGGATCACAGACAGCGGTAATCACGAGAACTCACGAGAACTCGCGGATTCACGTTCAATCGCGCGATAACGAGTTTATAAAGACAGACACATAGACATATCAGCAGTAGATCGTGTCCTTCCAGAGGAGGAAATCTAGACTTCTTCTAGAACTCTTGTGATCAGCTGAGGGGTCCGGCGATCCGAAGTCGGTGTAAATCGACACGTTAACTTGAATGGTTACGATCAGCTACGATCGGAGGATACGACCTTTTAGGAGACGATCAGGATGAAGGTGGAGTCAAGAACACTTACAGTCACAATACTGCCACCTGCTGGAGTCAGTCAGAACTGCAGCCTGAAGGACCAATCAGAGTCTGGATTTCCCACAAACCTTTTTATTCTTTTTTTAATCTTTTGATGCTTAAAGTAGAGAGGACAGAAGAGACAGAGGGACCGGGGGACAGGGGGACAGACAGCTGGAGTTCAGAATCAGGTCAGCTGACTGAACAAAGACAATCTGGACCTCAGCTTCAGGTTCACGTCTCACAAGGAGGAGGAGGAGGAGGAGGAGGAGGAGGAGGAGACAGACGGAGAGACACTGTCAGGGGGACAAGATCCAACACAATTCCATAACAACCTCAGAGGGGGACACACACTCCGAGGTGTCCACTCTGAGGTGTCCACTCTGAGGTGTCCACTCAGAAGTGTCCACTCTGAAGTGTCCACTCTGAAGTGTCCACTCTGAAGTGTCCACTCTGAGGTGTCCACTCTGAAGTGTCCACTCTGAGGTGTCCACTCTGAAGTGTCCACTCTGAGGTGTCCACTCTGAAGTGTCCACTCTGAGGTGTCCACTCTGAAGTGTCCACTCCGAGGTGTCCACTCTGAGACTAACCCTGTCTAGATCTTGTCCTTGTGTCTGATTTAAAGAAAGAAGAAAGACATTTTTAAACATTTTTGGACGTCTTGAACGTCTCCTGGTGAACGTCCAGCAGGTCTCCACTGAAGACGTTTCCACGGAGAAGATCAGGAGAAGGTTTCAGCTCCACGGAGGTCTGAGGAGACGGTCCACAGCAGGATCTGAACCAGAACCAGAGTCAGCAGTCAGTACCGGGGTCGAGTGCCTGTTAGTCAGTCCTGGTTTCCATGGAAACGACCTGAGAAATCAAGGGACGGGACAGTGATTGGTCAGAGAGAGGAGAGGAGGAGAGAGGAGGAGGAGAGAAAGGAGTAGGAGAGAGGAGAGGAGGAGTGAGAAGGGGATGAGAGGAGAGGAGGAGAGAGGAGTAGGAGAGAGGAGAGGAGGAGTGAGGAGAGGAGGAGAGAAGAGGAGAGAGGAGAGGAGGAGGAGGAGAGAAGAGGAGAGAGGAGAGGAGGAGAGAGGAGGAGGAGAGGAAGGAGTAGGAGAGAGGAGAGGAGGAGAGAAGAGGAGAGAGGAGAGGAGGAGAGAGGAGGAGGAGAGAAAGGAGTAGGAGAGAGGAGAGGAGGAGTGAGAAGGGGATGAGAGGAGAGGAGGAGAGAGGAGTAGGAGAGAGGAGAGGAGGAGTGAGGAGAGGAGGAGAGAAGAGGAGAGAGGAGAGGAGGAGGAGGAGAGAAGAGGAGAGAGGAGAGGAGGAGAGAGGAGGAGGAGAGGAAGGAGTAGGAGAGAGGAGAGGAGGAGAGAAGAGGAGAGAGGAGAGGAGGAGAGAGGAGGAGAGAAGAGAAGAGGAGAGAGGAGGAGAGAAGAGAAGAGGAGAGAGGAGGAGGAGAGAGGAGGAGGAGAGAAAGGAGTAGGAGAGAGGAGAGGAGGAGAGAGGAGGAGAGAGGAGGAGGAGAGGAGAGAGAAGGGGATGAGAGGAGAGGAGGAGAGAGGAGGAGGAGAGAAAGGAGTAGGAGAGAGGAGAGGAGGAGTGAGAAGGGGATGAGAGGAGAGGAGGAGAGAGGAGTAGGAGAGAGGAGAGGAGGAGTGAGGAGAGGAGGAGAGAAGAGGAGAGAGGAGAGGAGGAGGAGGAGAGAAGAGGAGAGAGGAGAGGAGGAGAGAGGAGGAGGAGAGGAAGGAGTAGGAGAGAGGAGAGGAGGAGAGAAGAGGAGAGAGGAGAGGAGGAGAGAGGAGGAGAGAAGAGAAGAGGAGAGAGGAGGAGAGAAGAGAAGAGGAGAGAGGAGGAGGAGAGAGGAGGAGGAGAGAAAGGAGTAGGAGAGAGGAGAGGAGGAGAGAGGAGGAGAGAGGAGGAGGAGAGGAGAGAGAAGGGGATGAGAGGAGAGGAGGAGAGAGGAAGAGAAGAGGAGAGAGGAGGAGGAGGAGGAGAGAAGAGGAGAGAGGAGGAGGAGGAGAGAAGAGGAGAGAGGAGAGGAGGAGAGAGGAGGAGGAGAGAAAGGAGTAGGAGAGAGGAGGAGGAGAGAGGAGGAGGAGAGGAGAGAGAAGGGGATGAGAGGAGAGGAGGAGAGAGGAAAGGAGGAGAGGAGGAGAGAAGAGGAGGAGGAGAGAAGAGGAGAGAGGAGAGGAGGAGAGAGGAGGAGGAGAGAAAGGAGTAGGAGAGAGGAGGAGGAGAGAGGAGGTGGAGAGGAGAGAGAAGGGGATGAGAGGAGAGGAGGAGAGAGGAAGAGAAGAGAAGAGGAGAGAGGAGGAGGAGAGAAGAGGAGAGAGGAGAGGAGGAGAGAGGAGGAGAGAAGAGGAGAGGAGGAGAGAGGAGGAGAGGAGAGAGAAGGGGATGAGAGGAGAGGAGGAGAGCGAGGAAAGAGGAGAGGAGGAGAGAGGAGAAGGAGAGAATAGGAGAGAGGAGGAGAGGAGAGAAGAGGAGAGAGGAGAGGAGGAGAGAGGAGAGGAGGAGAGAGGAGGAGAGAAGAGGAGAGAGGAGGAGGAGGAGGAGAGAGGACTAGAGAGGAGGAGTGGAGAGGAGGAGGAGAGAGGAGAGAAGAGAAGAGGACAGAGGAGAGGAGGAGAGAGGAGGAGGAGAAGAGGAGAGAGGAGAGGAGGAGGAGGAGAGAAGAGGAGAGAGGAGAGGAGGAGAGAGGAGGAAAGAAGAGAAGAGGAGAGAGGAGGAGGAGAGAGGAGGAGGAGGAGAGAAGAGGAGAGAGGAGAGGAGGAGAGAGGAGGAGGAGAAGAGGAGAGAGGAGAGGGGGAGAGAGGAGGAGGAGAAGAGGAGAGAGGAGAGGAGGAGAGAGGAGGAAAGAAGAGAAGAGGAGAGAGGAGGAGGAGAGAGGAGGAGGAGGAGAGAAGAGGAGAGAGGAGAGGAGGAGAGAGGAGGAGGAGGAGAGAGGAGGAGGAGAAGAGAAGAGGAGAGAGGAGAGGAGGAGAGAGGAGAAGAGAAGAGGAGAGAGGAGAGGAGGATAGAGGAGGAGAGAAGAGGAGAGAGGAGAGGAGGAGAGAGGAGGAGAGAAGAGGAGAGAGGAGAGGAGGAGAGAGGAGAGGAGGAGAGAGGAGGAGGAGAGAGGAGGAGGAGAGAAAGGAGTAGGAGAGAGGAGAGGAGAAGTGAGGAGAGGAGGAGAGAGAAGGAGAGAGGAGGAGGAGAGGAGAGAGAAGGGGATGAGAGGAGAGGAGGAGAGAGGAGAGGAGGAGAGGAGGAGAGAAGAGGAGAGAGGAGAGGAGGAGAGAGGAGGAGAGAAGAGGAGAGGAGAGAGGAGAGGAGGAGCGAGGAGGAGAGGAGAGAGAAGGGGATAAGAGGAGAGGAGGAGGAGGAGAGCGAGGAAAGAGGAGAGGAGGAGAGAGGAGGAGAGAAGAGGAGAGAGGAGAGGAGGAGAGAGGAGAAGGAGGAGAGAGGACTAAAGAGGAGGAGAGGAGAGGAGGAGGAGGAGAGAAGAGGAGAGAGGAGAGGAGAGAGGAGGAGAGAAAGGAGTAGGAGAGAGGAGAGGAGGAGAGAGAAGGGGATGAGAGGAGAGGAGGAGAGAGGAGTAGGAGAGAGGAGAGGAGGAGTGAGGAGAGGAGGAGAGAAGAGGAGAGAGGAGAGGAGGATGAGGAGAGAAGAGGAGAGAGGAGAGGAGGAGAGAGGAGTAGGAGAGAGGAGAGGAGGAGAGAGGAGAGGAGGAGAGAAGAGGAGAGAGGAGAGGAGGAGAGAGGAGGAGAGAAGAGAAGAGGAGAGAGGAGGAGAGAAGAGAAGAGGAGAGAGGAGGAGGAGAGAGGAGGAGGAGAGAAAGGAGTAGGAGAGAGGAAAGGAGGAGAGAGGAGAGGAGGAGAGAGGAGGAGAGAGGAGGAGGAGAGGAGAGAGAAGGGGATGAGAGGAGAGGAGGAGAGAGGAGGAGGAGAGAAAGGAGTAGGAGAGAGGAGAGGAGGAGTGAGGAGAGGAGGAGAGAGGAGGAGGAGAGGAGAGAGAAGGGGATGAGAGGAGAGGAGGAGAGAGGAAGAGAAGAGGAGAGAGGAGGAGGAGGAGGAGAGAAGAGGAGAGAGGAGAGGAGGAGAGAGGAGGAGGAGGAGAGAAGAGGAGAGAGGAGAGGAGGAGAGAGGAGGAGGAGAGAAAGGAGTAGGAGAGAGGAGGAGGAGAGAGGAGGAGGAGAGGAGAGAGAAGGGGATGAGAGGAGAGGAGGAGAGAGGAAAGGAGGAGAGGAGGAGAGAAGAGGAGGAGGAGAGAAGAGGAGAGAGGAGAGGAGGAGAGAGGAGGAGGAGAGAAAGGAGTAGGAGAGAGGAGGAGGAGAGAGGAGGTGGAGAGGAGAGGGAAGGGGATGAGAGGAGAGGAGGAGAGAGGAGGAGGAGAAGAGGAGAGAGGAGAGGAGGAGAGAGGAGGAAAGAAGAGAAGAGGAGAGATGAGGAGGAGAGAGGAGGAGGAGGAGAGAAGAGGAGAGAGGAGAGGAGGAGAGAGGAGGAGGAGGAGAGAGGAGGAGGAGAAGAGAAGAGGAGAGAGGAGAGGAGGAGAGAGGAGAAGAGAAGAGGAGAGAGGAGAGGAGGATAGAGGAGGAGAGAAGAGGAGAGAGGAGAGGAGGAGAGAGGAGGAGAGAAGAGGAGAGAGGAGAGGAGGAGAGAGGAGGAGGAGAGAGGAGGAGGAGAGAAAGGAGTAGGAGAGAGGAGAGGAGAAGTGAGGAGAGGAGGAGAGAGAAGGAGAGAGGAGGAGGAGAGGAGAGAGAAGGGGATGAGAGGAGAGGAGGAGAGAGGAGAGGAGGAGAGGAGGAGAGAAGAGGAGAGAGGAGAGGAGGAGAGAGGAGGAGAGAAGAGGAGAGGAGAGAGGAGAGGAGGAGAGAGGAGGAGAGGAGAGAGAAGGGGATGAGAGGAGAGGAGGAGGAGGAGAGCGAGGAAAGAGGAGAGGAGGAGAGAGGAGGAGAGAAGAGGAGAGAGGAGAGGAGGAGAGAGGAGAAGGAGGAGAGAGGACTAAAGAGGAGGAGAGGAGAGGAGGAGGAGGAGAGAAGAGGAGAGAGGAGAGGAGAGAGGAGGAGAGAAAGGAGTAGGAGAGAGGAGAGGAGGAGTGAGGAGAGGAGGAGAGAAGAGGAGAGAGGAGAGGAGGAGAGAGGAGTAGGAGAGAGGAGAGGAGGAGAGAGGAGAGGAGGAGAGAAGAGGAGAGAGGAGAGGAGGAGAGAGGAGGAGAGAAGAGAAGAGGAGAGAGGAGGAGAGAAGAGAAGAGGAGAGAGGAGGAGGAGAGAGGAGGAGGAGAGAAAGGAGTAGGAGAGAGGAGAGGAGGAGAGAGGAGGAGAGAGGAGGAGGAGAGGAGAGAGAAGGGGATGAGAGGAGAGGAGGAGAGAGGAGGAGGAGAGAAAGGAGTAGGAGAGAGGAGAGGAGAGGAGGAGAGAGGAGGAGAGAGGAGGAGGAGAGGAGAGAGAAGGGGATGAGAGGAGAGGAGGAGAGAGGAAGAGAAGAGGAGAGAGGAGGAGGAGGAGGAGAGAAGAGGAGAGAGGAGAGGAGGAGAGAGGAGGAGGAGGAGAGAAGAGGAGAGAGGAGAGGAGGAGAGAGGAGGAGGAGAGAAAGGAGTAGGAGAGAGGAGGAGGAGAGAGGAGGAGGAGAGGAGAGAGAAGGGGATGAGAGGAGAGGAGGAGAGAGGAAAGGAGGAGAGGAGGAGAGAAGAGGAGGAGGAGAGAAGAGGAGAGAGGAGAGGAGGAGAGAGGAGGAGGAGAGAAAGGAGTAGGAGAGAGGAGGAGGAGAGAGGAGGTGGAGAGGAGAGAGAAGGGGATGAGAGGAGAGGAGGAGAGAGGAAGAGAAGAGAAGAGGAGAGAGGAGGAGGAGAGAAGAGGAGAGAGGAGAGGAGGAGAGAGGAGGAGGAGGAGAGAAGAGGAGAGGAGGAGAGAGGAGGAGAGGAGAGAGAAGGGGATGAGAGGAGAGGAGGAGAGCGAGGAAAGAGGAGAGGAGGAGAGAGGAGAAGGAGAGAATAGGAGAGAGGAGGAGAGGAGAGAAGAGGAGAGAGGAGAGGAGGAGAGAGGAGAGGAGAGGAGAGAAGAGAAGAGGAGAGAGGAGGAGGAGGAGGAGAGAGGACTAGAGAGGAGGAGAGGAGAGGAGGAGGAGAGAGAAGAGAAGAGGACAGAGGAGAGGAGGAGAGAGGAGGAGGAGAAGAGGAGAGAGGAGAGGAGGAGGAGGAGAGAAGAGGAGAGAGGAGAGGAGGAGAGAGGAGGAAAGAAGAGAAGAGGAGAGAGGAGGAGGAGAGAGGAGGAGGAGGAGAGAAGAGGAGAGAGGAGAGGAGGAGAGAGGAGGAGGAGAAGAGGAGAGAGGAGAGGAGGAGGAGGAGAGAAGAGGAGAGAGGAGAGGAGGAGAGAGGAGAAGAGAAGAGGAGAGAGGAGAGGAGGATAGAGGAGGAGAGAAGAGGAGAGAGGAGAGGAGGAGAGAGGAGGAGAGAAGAGGAGAGAGGAGAGGAGGAGAGAGGAGGAGGAGAGAGGAGGAGGAGAGAAAGGAGTAGGAGAGAGGAGAGGAGAAGTGAGGAGAGGAGGAGAGAGAAGGAGAGAGGAGGAGGAGAGGAGAGAGAAGGGGATGAGAGGAGAGGAGGAGAGAGGAGGAAAGAAGAGAAGAGGAGAGAGGAGGAGGAGAGAGGAGGAGGAGGAGAGAAGAGGAGAGAGGAGAGGAGGAGAGAGGAGGAGGAGGAGAGAGGAGGAGGAGAAGAGAAGAGGAGAGAGGAGAGGAGGAGAGAGGAGAAGAGAAGAGGAGAGAGGAGAGGAGGATAGAGGAGGAGAGAAGAGGAGAGAGGAGAGGAGGAGAGAGGAGGAGAGAAGAGGAGAGAGGAGAGGAGGAGAGAGGAGGAGGAGAGAGGAGGAGGAGAGAAAGGAGTAGGAGAGAGGAGAGGAGAAGTGAGGAGAGGAGGAGAGAGAAGGAGAGAGGAGGAGGAGAGGAGAGAGAAGGGGATGAGAGGAGAGGAGGAGAGAGGAGAGGAGGAGAGAAGAGGAGAAAGGAGAGGAGGAGAGAGGAGGAGAGAAGAGGAGAGGAGAGAGGAGAGGAGGAGAGAGGAGGAGAGGAGAGAGAAGGGGATGAGAGGAGAGGAGGAGGAGGAGAGCGAGGAAAGAGGAGAGGAGGAGAGAGGAGGAGAGAAGAGGAGAGAGGAGAGGAGGAGAGAGGAGAAGGAGGAGAGAGGACTAAAGAGGAGGAGAGGAGAGGAGGAGGAGGAGAGAAGAGGAGAGAGGAGAGGAGAGAGGAGGAGAGAAAGGAGTAGGAGAGAGGAGGAGAGAAAGGAGTAGGAGAGAGGAGGAGGAGAGAAAGGAGGAGGAGAGAGGAGGAGGAGAGGAGAGAGAAGGGGATGAGAGGAGAGGAGGAGAGAGGAGAGGAGGAGAGGAGGAGAGAAGAGGAGAGAGGAGAGGAGGAGAGAGGAGGAGGAGGAGAGAATAGGAGAGAGGAGGAGAGGAGAGAAGAGGAGAGGAGGAGAGAGGAGAGGAGGAGAGAGGAGGAGAGAAGAGAAGAGGAGAGAGGAGGAGGAGGAGGAGAGAGGACTAGAGAGGAGGAGAGGAGAGGAGGAGGAGAGAGGAGAGAAGAGAAGAGGACAGAGGAGAGGAGGAGAGAGGAGGAGGAGAAGAGGAGAGAGGAGAGGAGGAGGAGGAGAGAAGAGGAGAGAGGAGAGAGGAGAGGAGGAGAGGAGGAGAGAGGAGAGGAGGAGGAGAGAGGAGGAGGAGGAGAGAAGAGGAGAGAGGAGAGGAGGAGAGAGGAGGAGGCGAAGAGGAGAGAGGAGAGGAGGAGGAGGAGAGAAGAGGAGAGAGGAGAGGAGGAGAGAGGAGGAAAGAAGAGAAGAGGAGAGAGGAGGAGGAGAGAGGAGGAGGAGGAGAGAAGAGGAGAGAGGAGAGGAGGAGAGAGGAGGAGGAGAAGAGAAGAGGAGAGAGGAGGAGAGAGGAGAAGAGAAGAGGAGAGAGGAGAGGAGGATAGAGGAGGAGAGAAGAGGAGAGAGGAGGAGAGAAGAGGAGAGAGGAGAGGAGGAGAGAGGAGGATGAGAAAGGAGGAGGAGAGAAAGGAGTAGGAGAGAGGAGAGGAGAAGTGAGGAGAGGAGGAGAGAGGAGGAGAGAGGAGGAGGAGAGGAGAGAGAAGGGGATGAGAGGAGAGGAGGAGAGAGGAGAGGAGGAGAGGAGGAGAGAAGAGGAGAGAGGAGAGGAGGAGAGAGGAGGAGAGAAGAGGAGAGGAGAGAGGAGAGGAGGAGAGAGGAGGAGAGGAGAGAAGGGGATGAGAGGAGAGGAGGAGGAGGAGAGCGAGGAAAGAGGAGAGGAGGAGAGAGGAGGAGAGAAGAGGAGAGAGGAGAGGAGGAGAGAGGAGAAGGAGGAGAGAGGACTAAAGAGGAGGAGAGGAGAGGAGGAGGAGGAGAGAAGAGGAGAGAGGAGAGGAGAGAGGAGGAGAGGAGGAGGAGAGAAAGGAGTAGGAGAGAGGAGGAGGAGAGAAAGGAGTAGGAGAGAGGAGGAGGAGAGAAAGGAGTAGGAGAGAGGAGGAGGAGAGAAAGGAGTAGGAGAGAGGAGGAGGAGAGGAGAGAGAAGGGGAAGAGAGGAGAGGAGGAGAGAGGAAGAGAAGAGGAGAGAGGAGGAGGAGGAGGAGAGAAGAGGAGAGAGGAGGAGGAGGAGAGAAGAGGAGAGAGGAGAGGAGGAGAGAGGAGGAGGAGAGAAAGGAGTAGGAAAGAGGAGGAGGAGAGAGGAGGAGGAGAGGAGAGAGAAGGGGATGAGAGGAGAGGAGGAGAGAGGAAGAGAAGAGAAGAGGAGAGAGGAGGAGAAGGAGGAGAGAAGAGGAGAGAGGAGAGGAGGAGAGAGGAGGAGGAGGTGAGAAGAGGAGAGGAGGAGAGAGGAGGAGAGGAGAGAGAAGGGGATGAGAGGAGAGGAGGAGAGCGAGGAAAGAGGAGAGGAGGAGAGAGGAGGAGGAGAGAATAGGAGAGAGGAGGAGAGGAGAGAAGAGGAGAGAGGAGGAGGAGGAGGAGAGAGGACTAGAGAGGAGGAGAGGAGAGGAGGAGGAGAGAGGAGAGAAGAGAAGAGGACAGAGGAGAGGAGGAGAGAGGAGGAAAGAAGAGAAGAGGAGAGAGGAGAGGAGGAGAGAGGAGGAGAGAGGAGAGGAGGAGAGAGGACTAGAGAGGAGGAGAGGAGAGGAGGAGGAGGAGAGAAGAGGAGAGGAGAGAGGAGGAGAGGAGAGAGAAGGGGATGAGAGGAGAGGAAGAGAGGAGAGGAGGAGAGAGGAGGAGGAGGAGAGAGGAGAGAGAGGAGGAGAGTGAGGAGAGGAGGAGAGAGAGGAGGAGTGAGGAGGAGAGAGGAGGAGGAGAGGAGAGAGAAGGGGATGAGAGGAGAGGAGGAGAGAGGAAAGGAGGAGAGGAGGAGAGAAGAGGAGGAGGAGAGAAGAGGAGAGAGGAGAGGAGGAGAGAGGAGGAGGAGAGGAGAGAGAAGGGGATGAGAGGAGAGGAGGAGAGAGGAAGAGAAGAGGAGAAGGAGAGAGGAGGAGGAGAGGAGGAGGAGAGAGGAGCAGGAGGAAAGAAGAGGAGAGGAGAGGAGGAGAGAGGAGGAGAGGAGAGAGAAGGGGATGAGAGGAGAGGAGGAGAGAGGAGGAGGAGGAGAGAATAGGAGAGAGGAGGAGAGAAGAGGAGAGAGGAGAGGAGGAGAGAGGAGGAGAGAAGAGAAGAGGAGAGAGGAGGAGGAGGAGGAGAGAGGACTAGAGAGGAGGAGAGGAGAGGAGGAGGAGAGAGGAGAGAAGAGAAGAGGACAGAGGAGAGGAGGAGAGAGGAGGGGGAGAAGAGGAGAGAGGAGAGGAGGAGGAGGAGAGAAGAGGAGAGAGGAGAGGAGGAGAGGGGAGGAAAGAAGAGAAGAGGAGAGAGGAGGAGAGAGGAGGAGGAGGAGAGAAGAGGAGAGAGGAGAGGAGGAGAGAGGAGGAGGAGGAGAGAGGAGGAGAGAGGACTAGAGAGTAGGAGAGAGTGAGGAGAAGGAGAGGAGGAGAAGGAGAGTCTCACCTATCTGGCCCAGGCCATGGTGACCAATGGGGAGTCTCCAGAGAGCCAGCTGGGGGAGCGCCGTCTCCGCCCAGTTTTGGAACAGTCCTACAGAGTCAAGAACCAAGACCAGGACCAGGAGTTAGTCTGGACCAGAACCTCTACAGACCAGTCTGTGTGTGTGTCAGTGTGTGTCAGTGTGTGTTTGTGTCTGTCAGTGTGTGTCTGTGTGTGTCTGTGTGTGTCAGTGTGTGTCAGTGTGTGTCAGTGTGTGTCTGTGTGTGTCAGTGTGTGTCTGTGTGTGTCTGTGTGTGTCAGTGTGTGTCTGTGTGTGTCAGTGTGTGTCTGTGTGTGTCAGTGTGTGTCAGTGTGTGTTAGAGTGTGTCTGTGTGTGTCAGTGTGTGTTAGAGTGTGTCTGTGTGTGTTTGTGTCTGTCAGTGTGTGTCAGTGTGTGTCAGTGTCTGTCAGTGTGTGTCAGTGTGTGTCAGTGTGTGTTAGAGTGTGTCTGTGTGTGTCAGTGTGTGTCAGTGTGTGTCAGTGTGTGTCAGTGTCTGTCAGTGTGTGTCTGTGTGTGTCTGTGTGTGTCAGTGTGTGTCAGTGTGTGTCTGTGTGTGTTAGAGTGTGTCGTACCGGCACACAGCTCTTGTTCTTCTTGATTCCACACATGTTGACCTTGCAGTGCAGGAAGACCTCACTGTTGCTGTTGGGGAACTGGAAGGTCTTGAAGGAGAACACACTCAGGACTCCGGCTCCGTTCCCGGTCAGCTGGACCGTCGGGTCTTTGGGGTTCTTACAGCTGATCACAAACACACACACACATGGAACCAGATCAGACTCTGAAGGACCCACAGCAGTGCGGTTTCTCTTGGACCTGGACACGCCCTTACCCATTGGAGACCAGGTAGTATTTGGGGTCGGACTGGGGGTCTTTCTGCTTGGTGGCCCAGCAGGAGTCAAACAGAACCGCCGCCGCCTTACTGTCCACACCTGTGGCCTTGAGCTCGATCCAGATCCTCTGGTTCATCTCCACAGACTTGAGGATCTCTGTACGTTCCTTGTTGGCGAAGGCCTTCATGGTGATGGTATAGTCCCAGGTTCCCGCCTTCACCGGTTTGTTGACCACCGAGGAGCTGAAAATACACAAACGCAGAAACACACAACTGTCACACAAACCCGCGGACAGCTCTGAAGACCAGGATCTGAGGTGGACTCTCGGTCCTCACCTGCCCGTCACTTTGAAGGACATCAGCTGGAGTTTGGGCTGAGCGAAGTTACAGGAGAAGGCGATGTCCACCGGGTCTGAGCGAAGGATGGCCTCGGGGGGAAGCTCCATGCTCTGGATGTTGTTCTTGTAGTTCACGGCTCCATCTTTGTCCTGCAGGGTCACAGGGGTCAGATTGAAGCGCTCTCTTAAAGGGAAAATCCGGCGGAAAATTGATTTATGGTCAAACCCACCGTAACACCGAGTTAGACCCCGCCTCCAGAGATGAATGTTGCCGTAGTACTAGACACCAAACATCTTTTTAACTTTGACTCATTTCTTTAGCAAAGAGACTAAACACAACTCACCTACTCTCTTCCAGCAGACGCTTGTTTGTAGAGAGACCTCAGGCCAGTCCATTACAGACTACAGCGGGGTGACGCAGCTCAAGGAAGAACATTTATGATCATTTCTTCATGGAAATACAATCAGACCGAGACGCTAAGACAGAAGAACTACCGCGTCTGTAAAATGATCAATATGGTGATTATTACTTCAAGGAAATGATAAAGAAATGATCATAAATGTTCTTCCTTGAGCTGCGTCACCCCGCTGTAGTCTGTAATGGACTGACCTGAGGTCTCTCTACAAACAAGCGTCTGCTGGAAGAGAGTAGGTGAGTTGTGTTTAGTTTCTTTGCTAAAGAAATGAGTCAAAGTTAAATGATGTTTGGTGGTTAGTACTCTGGCTGGAGGGCAACATTCATCTCTGGGGGCGGGGTCTAACTCGGTGTTACGGTGGGTTTGACCATAAATTAATTTTACGCTGGAATATCCCTTTAAATACTGTGAGTCAGTACCCCCCAAGGACCCACAGAGACTCCTGAGACCGGCTCAAGATCAGGACTTACTGTGACCTCGGCCCCACATGTCTCAGTGTTGCTGAAGCTGAAGACCACAAACCCGTCCACCAGCTGACCTTTACACTTCTCGTCGTTTAGCCGGAGGGTCTTATAGTCGATGCCTTTCTCCACCAGCAGACAGTTCACCAGAGAGGCGGAGGCGGAGCCGGCGCCACAGGTGGTAGCATTACCTAAGGGACACAACAGGGACGGGACCTGTCAGATACGTCCGTCTTTCTCTCTGAAGACTTTAAAAAACCGAAATTTGACCTCCTCCTGTAAATAAATCTGTGACGTCTTCTGAGGGGACGTCTCCTGCTGTCGCTTTGAGTTCAATCAAAATAAAACGTTGTCCCTGAGGAACCACAGCAGCTTCTGAACCAGAACAGAACCAGAACCAGAACAGAACCGGTCTTACCCAGAGATTTTAAATCCCTAAACTTCTGTACTTCTGTGGGTCTGCAGCGACACCCCCAGGTCCCGGTCTCTCCAATCTGACCGCAGAACTCCGTGGACAGGCAGGACGAGTCCTGACAGAGGGCTTTAGGAGACGCCGCTGAGGGACAGACGGACAGACAACGTCAGGGACACAGACGAGGACAGAGGTGAGACTCTCCGTGTTTCCATGGAAACTCAGATTTTTGTCTTACAGCATTCCTCCTTTGACCTCCAGCCCTGGACGTCCTGAGAGAAGAGTCCACAGACCCGGCTGTAGGACTCCAGGAAGGAACAGGTGAGACCGTCCACAGGGGGGTACGAACACATGGTGTCTGCGCAGGACTTGACGAAGGACGCGGGACTGACCAGGCCGTGACATTTGGTGAAGGGGTCAGAGTTCAGGACGGCGCACCTGGAGGACAGAGACAGAGAGAGACAAACAGAGGAGGAGGACAAGTCAAAGGAGGACGAGTCGGAGGACAGACAGACAGAGGAGGACGGTCAGAGGAAGACAGAGAGTGAGGATGAGTCAAAGGAGGACGGGTCAGAGAAGGACAGACAGAGGACGACAGAGCCAGAGAGTGATGGACAGAGACAGATGAGTCGAAGGAGGACGGACAGTGGAGGACAGACAGACAGATGGACAGACAGAGGAGGACAGACAGACAGACAGACAGAGGAGGACAGACAGACAGACAGACAGACAGAGGAGGACAGACAGACAGACAGAGGAGGACAGACAGACAGACAGACAGATGGACAGACAGAGGAGGACAGACAGACAGATGGACAGACAGAGGAGGACAGACAGACAGACAGACAGACAGACAGACAGAGTAGGACAGACAGACAGATGGACAGACAGAGGAGGACAGACAGACAGACAGACAGAGGAGGACGGACAGTGGAGGACAGACAGACAGACAGACAGACAGACAGACAGATGGAAAGACAGAGGAGGACAGACAGACAGACAGACAGACAGACAGACAGACAGACAGAGGAGGACGGACACTCACCTCTTCTTTGCTTCCTCACAGTTGATGGACTCGTCCTTACTGTCGTCCTTCGGTTCTGTCTCACAGCTGGGGGGCGGAAACATCAGGAGGGTCAAAGGTCACAGAGGGGGCTCAGAGGTCAGTATTAGTGGGCGTGGACTCACCTGTCTTTCGTGTCCCTCACGTCAGCAGCAGCTGCTCCGGCATTAGCGCACAAATGTTTTAACCCAAGAGACGTTTTTGACGGACCTGAGGGGGGACAGGACTGGATCAACCCTTCAAAATAAAAGCTCTATAGCCCTGTGAGGTTAAACTGAAACAGAGATTAACCCTTCAAAATAAAAGCTCTATAACCCTGTGAGGTTTTACTAAAACAGAGATTAACCCTTCAAAATAAAAGCTCTATAACCCTGTGAGGTTTTACTAAAACAGAGATTAACCCTTCAAAATAAAAGCTCTATAACCCTGTGAGGTTTTACTAAAACAGAGATTAACCCTTCAAAATAAAAGCTTTATAACCCTGTGAGGTTTAACTGAAACAAAGATCAACCCTTCAAAATAAAAGCTCTATAGCCCTGTGAGGTTTAACTGAAACAAAGATCAACCCTTCAAAATAAAAGCTCTATAACCCTGTGAGGTTTTACTAAAACAGAGATTAACCCTTCAAAATAAAAGCTCTATAACCCTGTGAGGTTTTACTAAAACAGAGATTAACCCTTCAAAATAAAAGCTCTATAACCCTGTGAGGTTTTACTAAAACAGAGATTAACCCTTCAAAATAAAAGCTCTATAACCCTGTGAGGTTTAACTGAAACAAAGATCAACCCTTCAAAATAAAAGCTCTATAGCCCTGTGAGGTTTAACTGAAACAAAGATTAACCCTTCAAAATAAAAGCTCTATTACCCTGTGAGGTTTTACCAAAACAGAGATTAACCCTTCAAAATAAAAGCTCTATAACCCTGAATTATTAATTCAGTGATTCATCGATACTGTTATTTACTAATTTGCTGATCTATTGATTCATTAACAAATTGATTTATTGGATCACTGATTCAGTGGTTCAATAATTTAATAATTCATTGATTCACTGATTCAGAGATCTACTGGTTTATTGATTTAGTGATTTATTGATTCAAAGACTCATTGATTCCCTATTGATTCACAGATTCATTAATTCTTTGATTCATTGATTAAGTGATTTATTGATACAGGCTCAGGGTCAGGGTTACGTCGTCTGTTAGAGTTGTTATCTGTTTGAACTCGTTGTTAAAAATCACCATCAGCGCCACTTTAACGTGATTTTCTGCTGAGTCATGTTGTCTTTTCCAGCTGCATTATGGGTGAAGAGCCAAAGACACATTTTCTACTTGGACCCTGAGGTTCTAAAGTCAAAGTGAACGGTTTCCTCATTCCTGCCCACTAAAGTGTGTCCCTCTAAAGACCGGACTTTGGATTGGATCTGGGTTCAGTTTCTGTACCTGTGAAGAGGATCTGAGCTGTGTAGCCGTTGAAGAAGACAAAGGTGTCGAAGCCTTTTTCTGAGTAGACCGCCGTCACTCCTTCAGGCTCCTTCTTCAGAGAGATCTTTCCAAAAGTTTTGAGCGTATCAGTGAGGGTCAGCACGCTCTCCCCCTCCTGCAACAGAGCAAACGACCAGAAACGGCCACAGGAGAGGAGACGGTGAACAACAGCAGCTTTTCATACTCTGACTGTCACACCTGAAAGTGTTGCTGTGGGAGGCTTACCTTCACTCTGCCACCTTGCTCCAGGCTGAACGTAGTGCTCTTATATTTAAGTACCACCGAGTCCAGGAAGCTCACGTCCTTGCGCCGCCGTTCATTGTACTTCCCCTCCACCGAGAAGTCTGGGACTACTGTGCTCGCCATCAGACGGTAATCACAGTGATCCTTAATGTAACGAAAGCCGCCTTTAACGTCGACGACTGAAGGTCCGGTAAAAGTGCAGGCGCCTGCAGATTTACAGCTGGGGAAGGGGGGGCAAAAGGTATTGTAAGCAACAAGAGGGACCTCAGGCAACTAAATGTTCATATTTTAGTGTGAAATAAACCTTATTTTAGTTTGAATACATGTCATAGTGTAGTGTGATAAAAAGATCATAGTATAAAATGTTCAAAATTTCAAATTTAAGTGAAAAAAAACATTTCCTTATTTTTTTATGGAAATAAATGTCAGATGACAAAAGTCATGACAAAAAAGTCATACGTAAGTACGTTAAGATTGTCAAATTTTAATGTGAAAACATTCCATATTTAGGTACGAAAAAAATGCCATAGTATTGTATGATATGATAAAAATAGTGGAAAAAAAAGTGGGTATGAAAAAAAATCTCATAGAATAGTATGTTAAAACTTTCTAATTTTAGTGAAAAAAAGTCATAATTTAGAATGGAAATAGATGTCCAATAGAAGTATGATAAAAATGTCACAGTCAAGTTTTAAAAAATTTCAAATTTTAGTATGAAAAATAATTTCATATCGGGGTATGAAAAAAAAAGCCATAGTATAGTATGATAAAAATGTCATATTTTTGTGTGTAGAAATATTTCACATGTGAGCATGAAAAAATAATGTCATAGTATGAAAAAATGTCATAGTGAAGTATGTTAAAAATTCCAAATTTTCCTGTGAAAATACATTTTTATATTTTGTATGAAAAAATAATGTCATAGTATACTGTGACATTTTTTTAATACTACTATCTAAAAATTTATTTCAAAACTAAAATATGATTGTGATGTGAAAATAAATTTCAGATTTTTGTATGAAAAAATAATGTCATAGTATAGAATGTTAAAAATTTAAAGTTTTTGTGTGAAGAAAAAATTCACGTTAGCATGATAAAAATTTCAATTTTTGTGTGAAAATAAATTTCATATTTTTGTATGAAAAAAAATGTCATGATAAAAATGTCAGTGTAGTGAGATAAAAATGTCATAGTATAGTATGTTAAAAATTCAAATTTTAGTGTGAACATTTTTTTTGAATTTTTGTATGAAAAATTATGTTATAGTATAGTATGATAAAAATGTCTTAGTATACTATGTTAAAAATTTCATGTTTGTGTGTAGAAAAATTTCACGTTAGCATGGTAAAAATGTCAAAGTATATTGTGTTCAAATTTTGAAATTTTAGTGGAAAAATCATTTCATATTTTTGATTGAAAAAAAAGTCATAGTATAGTATGGTAAAAATTTTTGAGTGAAAATAAATTTCATAAATATTTATGATAAGAATGTCATAGTATAGTATGTTAAAAATGTCAAATTTTAGTGTAAAAATAAGTTTCATATTTTTGTTTGAAAAATAATGTCAGTATAGTATGATAAAAATGTCACAGTAAAGTGTAAAAATTTTCAAATCTAGTTTGAAAAATAATTTAGTATCTGGGCATGAAAAAAAAAGTCACAACATAGTATGTTAAAAATCTCAAATTTCAGTGTGAAAAAAAAATCATATTTTAGTTTGGAAAAAAATGTTTAGATAGTAGTATTATAAAAATGTCATAGTATAGTATGTCATAAATGACAAACTTAAGTGCGAAAAAAAAATAAGTTGGTATGAAAAAATGCCATAGTATAGTATGAAAAAGAATGTCATAGTATAGTGTGTTAAAATTTTCAAAAATTTGTTGAAAAAAAATCATAATTTAGTATGGAAATAAATGTCAGATAGAAGTATGGTAAAAATGTAACAGTAAAGTATGTAAAAATTTTCAAATCTGGTGTGAAAAATGATTTCATATCTGGGCATGAAAAAAAATGTAATAGTATAGTATGTCAAAAATTTTTAGTGCAAAAAATTTCCTGATTAATAATGGAAGTATATGTCAGATAGAAGTATAATAAAAATGTCATTTTATAGTATGTGAAAAAATTTCAAATTTGAGTGTGAAGAAAAGTTTTTTATTTTATTTAAAATAAATGTCCATTGTGTAGTATGTTAACAATTTCAGACTCTGGTGGAAAAAAAACATACATAAGAATTGAAACTGATGTCAGATTGTAGTATGATAAAAATGTCATAGTGTTGGATGTAAAAAATTAAAAATTTTAGTGTAAAAAAAGAACATTTCAATGTGAAAAAAATGCCATAGTATTGTATGATAAATATGCCATGCCAATTCTGGTGAAAAAGGATTTCCTAATTTAGTATGGTAATACTGTAAGATAGAAGTATGATGAAAATGTTTTAGTATTTTATGTTCAAAATGACAAATTTTTGTGTGAAAAATTTTTATTTTTTGTTTGAAAAAATGCTACAGTATGGTTTGATTATAAAAAATGTGATAGTTTAGCATGTTAAAAAATTCAAGTTTAAGTGAAATAAAATCCATATTTTTGTATGAAAATAAATGTCGGAAAGAAATATAATAAAAATGTCCCATTAAAGTATGTGAAAAAAAATCACATTTTAGTCTGAAAAATAAATGCCATTGTATAAAATGTTTAAAATTTTCAAATTCTAGTGAAAATGCCAATTCAAAATTTAGTACGGAAATAAATGTTAGATAGTTGTATATTAAAAATGTCCTAGCATTGTATGATAAACATGTCATAATATAGTTCTATAAAAATTTCAAAATTTGGTGAAAAAATATCATTATAAAGAACAGAAATAAATGTCAAATAGTAGTATGAAAAAAATTCAGTTTAATTTGTTAAAAAATTGAAATTTTAATGTGTGAAAAAAAAATAGTATGTTAGTTTAAAAAAATCTCCCAGAATATTGTTTGATAAAAAATGTGATAGTGTAGTAAAATAAAAACTTATGTATATTTTTTTGTATACATAAAATGCCATAGTAAAGTTTAATCAAAATGGCACAGTAATGTTAAAAATTTGAAATTTTAGTGTTAAAAAAATGCCATAGTACAGCATGTTAAATATTTCAAATTTTAGTAGGAAAAAAAAGTCATATTTTTTAATATAGTCTTCCTCAGGGTTTATCTAACAGACTGGAGGATAAATAACATCTAAAGTGTAAATGGTTGTGTTGTTTGGAGGAGTCCCTCTCTCAAACATGAAGAATGGATTTACCTGCCAGAGATACAAACGTCATCTCCATCACAGCCAGAAACAGAGCTTTTTCCTGGACTGGGACATTTTGCCGTCTGACAGTTTGAATCTGTTTTCTCCTCTCCTGGCTTCAACACCATGTCTGCATGGAAAAAAAAAGGTTTACAGAGATAAAAGTGTCAGGACTGAAACTCCACTTATAAACCTTTAAACAACGTCTGAAAGAAACTCTGAAAAACACCTTTGAATCTGCAGCCGCTGACGTCATGGGGAATATAACCAGGAACCGCTTTATTGAACACTTCTTTACCACCGACCAGAAGAACAGCGCTCTGAAAGGGTGAGGGTTAGAGACAGAGAGAGACAGGGGGGAGAGTTACAGTACTATAAACCTGCAGGGAACCAGAACTACAGAACTACAGCGATACAAAACTACAGAGATACAGAACCACAGAGATACAGAACCAAAGAGATACAGATCTACAGAACTACAGAGATAAAGAACTAAAGAACTACAGGCATTCAGAACCACAGAGATACAGAACTACAGAACTACAGAGATACAGAACCACAGAGATACAGAACCACAGAGATACAGAACTACAGAGATACAGAACCACAGAGATACAGAACCACAGAGATACAGAACCACAGAGATACAGAACCACAGAGATACAGAACCAAAGAGATACAGATCTACAGAACTACAGAGATACAGAACTACAGAGATACAGAACCACAGAGATAAAGAACTAAAGAACTACAGGCATCCAGAACCACAGAGATACAGAACTACAGAGATACAGAACCACAGAGATACAGAACCAAAGAGATACAGATCTACAGAACTACAGAGATACAGAACCACAGAGATACAGAACCAAAGAGATACAGAACTACAGAGATACAGAACTACAGAGATACAGAACCACAGAGATAAAGAACTAAAGAACTACAGGCATCCAGAACCACAGAGATACAGAACTACAGAGATACAGAACCACAGAGATACAGAACCAAAGAGATACAGATCTACAGAACTACAGAGATACAGAACCACAGAGATACAGAACCAAAGAGATACAGAACTACAGAGATACAGAACTACAGAACTACAGAGATAAAGAACCACAGAGATACAGAACTACAGAGATACAGAACCAAAGAGATACAGAACTACAGAACTACAGATATAAAGAACCACAGAACTACAGAGATACAGAACCAAAGAGATACAGAGATACAGAACTACAGAACTACAGAGATACAGCACTACAGAACTACAGAGATACAGAACCACAGAGATACAAAACTACAGAACTACAGATATAAAGAACTACAGAGATACAGAACCACAGAGATACAGAACCACAGAGACCAGGATCGGGTCTGTTGCCCTGCTGCTTTGTCATATACTGAACCGTCACCATGGTAACGGTGTGACATACCATACCTGATATTGAGCAGTTACCATGGTGACGCTCGCTACACCAGGGCTTTTAATGCTGCAGTTACAGTTCACTTAATGCTGAGCTGTTACCACGGCAACTGACGCTGCAGAGCTAACATACACCTGATCTGTCGCCATGGTAACCAGTGCTACCCCCCCACCCCCACCCCAACCCACTGTCAGGACAGGTGAGCAGCACCTGCAGCATTTCCCCGGACCTCCTGAGCTCTGAGATCAGGTTGAGTCAGAAAAGTCGGAGTTTGACGACCTGGAGCCGAAAAACTGACAGTCTGTCATTCCTCAGAGACGCTCCAGGCTTCAGCCGGACTGGTTAACGAGTTCTGGGTCTGAACTCTCTGAGAGTCGACGTGACAAATCACACACAACCCTCCGGCTCACGCAGAGCTTCAAGTTTCTCTCTTCAGGTTTTTCAGTTTCTGCAGAAACTTGATTTTAGAGCGAGGTCTTTGTCAAGACCCGGGTCAGGGTCAGGGTCAGGGTCTTCATGCAGTATCTGCTGAGTGTGTGCGTTTGAAGGTCAGCTGAGCAGAAACCGTTCATGACCCTCAGACATAAACGTTGGAAAGACTCACCACTGGGGGGCCGGAATTAACAAAGGTGGAGATGCTGCCGTATGTCCCAGCGCTGTATATAGGGATTAAATACTGCAGAGACGGACAGAGACACAGACATAGAGACAGACAGACAGACAGACAAAGACAGAGAGACAGACAGACAGGCAGGTTTAAAACATGAGTTATTTTCTAACCAGTCATTGAATGAATGAATGAATGAATGAATGAATGAATGAATGAATGTCACTCACATCTGATTCTCCAACCTTCATGGACATGTATACGATACTCTTCAGATCTGATTTGATGTTGGGATATACTTCTTTGAATTGGTCTTTGTCAATTTTGTCAGCGTCATCTTGACGGACGCCCGCTTTCCTCGCCGCCTTCCCCTTCATCAGGAGGCAGTCGGCGTCGGAGGTCGAACCGTGATATCCATCGAAACAAACGGCGAAATGTTCATCGGTGAAGCTCACCTGCATAAAAAGGAGAGATTCAAATAAAAAAACCCTCTAGTTGATGGCGCCGCCCTGCACGCCCTTTTATGGACATTTTCCTGCTTCAGTGATTTAAGGTCACGGGTGAGAAGAAGAACTTCTCTGAGGGACCAATGATCAACAGAACCGAGACAGACGTCCTCAGACTCACAAAGATCTGCGTCCTTTCCGTCCCGTACAGACTGAACGGATTGTTCAGGTTCAGAGTGAAGTCTTCGGTGTAAAACGTGGCTGAAACACAGGAGGTCAAAGGTCAGGGAGACACCATCATCAGAGGACACACAGAGACATGTGGATCAAAGACATGTCTACTAATTCATGAGCAGGAAAGACTCGAGGTCCACCGAGTCTCTGAGTCTTCAGGAGTTTACCTTCAAGCTCGGCGAGGAGCAGCAGGAGGAGCAGGGGGCGGAGCAGGGGGCGGAGCATGTTGCAGGAGATCGCTCAGGTGACTGGAGCTGAAGGACACAGAGTTGGACAACCTTCAGAAGACAAGAAATCCAGACCTTCCAAAACACCTTGAAAAAACTCCAGTGTCTCATGACTCATATTAACCTTTTCCATAACTTCAGACTTTTCCAAAACTTTTCCAAGACGTCAGACTTTTCCAAAACCTTTCCATAACTTCTGACTTTTCCAAAACTTTTCCAAGACGTCAGACTTTTCCAAAACTTCAGACTTTTCCATAACTTTTCCAAAACTTCAGACTTTTCCAAAACTTTTCCAAAACTTCAGACTTTTCCATAACTTTTCCAAAACTTCAGTGTTTTCCAAAACTTTTCCAAAACTTCAGACTTTTCCAAAACTTTTCCAAAACTTCAGACTTTTCCATAACTTTTCCAAAACTTCAGACTTTTCCATAACTTTTCCAAAACTTCAGACTTTTCCAAAACTTTTCCAAAACTTCAGACTTTTCCATAACTTTTCCAAAACTTCAGACTTTTCCATAACTTTTCCAAAACTTCAGACTTTTCCAAAACTTTGGACTTTTCCAAAACCTTTCCATAACCAAAAAACACTCTGAGGAGAGGAGCAGACAGGGGAGGAGACGAGGAGACAGGTGAGGAGAAAAGGAGCAGACAGGGGAGGAGAGGAGGAGACAGGTGAGGAGAAGAGGAGACAGGTGAGGAGAAAAGGAGCAGACAGGGGAGGAGAGGAGGAGACAGGTGAGGAGACGAGGAGACAGGTGAGGAGAAAAGGAGCAGACAGGGGAGGAGACAGGTGAGGAGACAGGTGAGGAGACGAGGAGACAGGTGAGGAGAAAAGGAGCAGACAGGTGAGGAGACAGGTGAGGAGACAGTTGAGGAGAAAAGGAGACAGGTGAGGAGACGAGGAGCAGACAGGTGAGGAGACAGGTGAGGAGACAGGTGAGGAGACGAGGAGCAGACAGGTGAGGAGAAAAGGAGCAGACTGGTGAGGAGACGAGGAGCAGACAGGTGAGGAGACAGGTGAGGAGACAGGTGAGGAGACGAGGAGCAGACAGGTGAGGAGCAGACAGGTGAGGAGACGAGGAGCAGACAGGTGAGGAGACAGGTGAGGAGACAGGTGAGGAGACGAGGAGCAGACAGGTGAGGAGCAGACAGGTGAGGAGACGAGGAGAAAGGTGAGGAGACGAGGAGCAGACAGGTGAGGAGACAGGTGAGGAGACAGGTGAGGAGACGAGGAGCAGACAGGTGAGGAGAAAAGGAGCAGACAGGTGAGGAGACGAGGAGCAGACAGGTGAGGAGACAGGTGAGGAGACAGGTGAGGAGACGAGGAGCAGACAGGTGAGGAGCAGACAGGTGAGGAGACGAGGAGAAAGGTGAGGAGACGAGGAGCAGACAGGTGAGGAGAAAAGGAGCAGACAGGTGAGGAGACGAGGAGCAGACAGGTGAGGAGACAGGTGAGGAGACGAGGAGCAGACAGGTGAGGAGCAGACAGGTGAGGAGACGAGGAGAAAGGTGAGGAGAAGAGGAGCAGACAGGTGAGGAGCAGACAGGTGAGGAGCAGACAGGTGAGGAGTAGACAGGTGAGGAGTAGACAGGTGAGGAGCAGACAGGTGAGGAGACGAGGAGCAGACAGGTGAGGAGACAGGTGAGGAGACGAGGAGTAGACAGGTGAGGAGCAGACAGGTGAGGAGCAGACAGGTGAGGAGCAGACAGGTGAGGAGACGAGGAGCAGACAGGTGAGGAGACAGGTGAGGAGACGAGGAGTAGACAGGTGAGGAGCAGACAGGTGAGGAGCAGACAGGTGAGGAGCAGACAGGTGGGCTTACCCTCTGGAGACAAAGATCAGGAGACTCTCTGAGGGTTCAGCAGCTGGTGAGGAGGACGACTCTGCTGCTGCTCTTATATCTACTGACACCAGGGGGGGGTAGAGGGAGTGGGAGGAGTTAGAGGGGGAGGAGTCAGAGGGAGGGGGAGGGGTTAGGTATTTGAAAATTTATGCCAAAGAATCTGAATAAAAAAACAAAAACCTGCAGATGTTCAGACTCTCTCTGGAACTTAGCGCTCATTTTGAAAACGACGTCTTTAAAGTTACAAAGACGTTCAAAAGTCTTTTTCGAGATCTGTGGTGCTGACCGGAGAATGTTTGGCATTTGTCTGTTCCTGATCGTTTAATAAAGAGGCGGCCGACTGTGACGTGAATTAAACTTCATAAAGTTCTTTTAATCTCGATCTGAAAAGTTCATCCTTGAAAACATCTGCAGAGGAGATCGAAGCTGGAGGTCAAACTGTTCAGACCCCGTTTCAAAGGTGGGGTGAAGGAGCAGCCGTCATCTTCATCTTCATCATCATCATCGTCGTCGTCATCTTCACCACATCCATTGTTCATATTTTCATATTTACTCTGATTGTCGTCAGTTTGACTCGACTGAAGAATCTTCAGATCCGGTTTTGTCACCATGTCTGGATTTCAAATTGAACAACACGGAGTTCAGCGGCAGCGCCGGTAGCGGTGGCGCCGGCGGCGGCTGAGCGTGTCAGCATGTATGTTTTCTGTATGATGTTTAATTGTTCTCACTGAGCGAACTGTACTTAACATACCAGCGGAGACATGAGAGTCACACAACAGAGGAATGAAACTCGACCAGAAACAGAACCGAGTGATGGATCATCGCCTCCAGAGATTCAGAGATCACGGCTGAGAGCGCCTCACACACACACACACACACACACACACACACACACACACACACACACACACACACACACACACACACACACGCTGACTTTCACCAGCTTCGCCCCTCAGAAGGTCTTTCTGCTTCATCTGAGAAGGTTCCTCCACGTTTTTGGTCCTTATCTGCTCGAATAAGACGTCCCGGTCTGGACGTCCTCAAAAACTCAAACACCAAATTAACAGTCAGACAAACAAAAGAACCTCCGCTGAGTTCAGAAGTGTCTCCATCCTGACCCTGCTGGGACAACAGGAACTATAGAGATACAAGAGTCCACAAGCCAAGACCTCAGGGGGGCTAACCTGATCCAGGAAAACAAGGGGTTAATAAAGACCGGGGACAGCGGGGAATCCTGGGAATGTGGGTCAATCAATCAATCAATTTATTTTGACAGAGAACCAAACCACAACAATTGTTACTCAAGAAGCTTTCCAAAAATAAAGGTCTAGACCACAATCAATGTTTGATGGACCACAAAGACCTTCAGATAGAACAGATCTGACCTGAAGAACGTCCTACACAAGAGAAAGACTCTAGAGAGTCACAGTGAAGAAGAAGAACGTCCTTCAACGGGCAGAAACCTTCAACAGGACCAGAGTTTAGACTTTAGAGAACCACAGTGAAGAAGAAGAAGGTCCTTCAACAGGCAGAAACCTTCAACAGGACCAGAGTTTAGACTTTAGAGAGTCACAGTGAAGAAGAAGAAGGTCCTTCAACGGGCAGAAACCTTCACCAGGACCAGAGTTTAGACTTTAGAGAGTCACAGTGAAGAAGAAGAAGGTCCTTCAACGGGCAGAAACCTTCACCAGGACCAGAGTTTAGACTTTAGAGAGTCACAGTGAAGAAGAAGAATGTCCTTCAACAGGCAGAAACCTTCACCAGGACCAGAGTTTAGACTTTAGAGAGTCACAGTGAAGAAGAAGAATGTCCTTCAACAGGCAGAAACCTTCACCAGGACCAGAGTTTAGACTTTAGAGAGTCACAGTGAAGAAGAAGAACGTCCTTCACCAGGACCAGAGTTTAGACTTTAGAGAGTCACAGTGAAGAAGAAGAAGGTCCTTCAACGGGCAGAAACCTTCACCAGGACCAGAGTTTAGACTTAAGAGAGTCACAGTGAAGAAGAAGAACGTCCTTCAACAGGCAGAAACCTTCACCAGGACCAGAGTTTAGACTTTAGAGAGTCACAGTGAAGAAGAGGAACGTCCTTCAACAGGCAGAAACCTTCAACAGGACCAGAGTTTAGACTTTAGAGAGTCACAGTGAAGAAGAAGAAGGTCCTTCAACGGGCAGAAACCTTCAACAGGACCAGAGTTTAGACTTTAGAGAGTCACAGTGAAGAAGAAGAACGTCCTTCAACAGGCAGAAACCTTCACCAGGACCAGAGTTTAGACTTTAGAGAGTCACAGTGAAGAAGAGGAACGTCCTTCAACAGGCAGAAACCTTCAACAGGACCAGAGTTTAGACTTTAGAGAGTCACAGTGAAGAAGAGGAACGTCCTTCAACAGGCAGAAACCTTCAACAGGACCAGAGTGATGTGAGACAGACACCTGCTGCAGGGAGGAGAGGGGGGAGATGGGGGGATGGATGGAGGTAGGGGAGAAAGAGAGCTGGGGGGGGGGGGGGGTGATGATGGAGTGGGAACAGTATGTGACAGACTGAGGTCTGTATTGTGTCTGTTCGCCTGCTCAGCTCTAATTATGTGAATGTCAAACGATGGAAACATGTTTGTTCTCTATAATCACCTCCACAGACGAGAACATGTCTGACAGGAATGTAACACCACAGGAGAGTCTGAGCGGAGGAGACGTCAGGAGGTCTGGGTGACCTACCTGAGCACAGGCTCCTCACAGGAAGTGGACCCGCTCTGAGGACCTTCAATGTGTCCAGATGGAGTCGGACCCGACCAGAACTTACTGATGATGGATAATGAAGACAGAAGGTTGAATGATCACCATAATGTTCTGATTATATAAGAGGGAACAGGTGTGTGCGACATGTGAGGAGGTGATGACTTATGTGTGTCTGTGTGCAGGTACATGTGTGTTTATGCAGGTGTTCTGTCTGTAGAGTGGAGCGGTGTGCTGTCATGTTTATGGTTTGGGATCTGCCTGAATATTGACGCATATTTTGTTTTTGGTTTGTGTAATTGTGGTTGTTTTGTTTGTGCTGAAGTTTGATGTTTAATATATAAAAGTTGAATTACAAAATAAATGTGTTTAAATGAACCCTCCTCTGCTGGAACCAGGACGTTAAAGATCCATCCGTACAGAACCCTCCTGGATCCGTGGAGCTGAAGTTTCACCAGCGTGTCTCATTTTTAATCAACTCTACGGTGGCCGAGAAACGCCACCGCTGCAAATAAAAAAGAAGGCAGAAAAATGAAGTCACAACGGAAGTTAACGACGCAAAAAAAGAAACCAAAGCCCACTGCAGATAAAAAAGAACGCCACTTTTTTTGTGTGTCGTTAACTTCTGTTGTGTTTTTTCCTACCTGCATCATTAACTTCTGTTCGGACTTCTTTTTTTCCCCCTATTCTTTTTTATTTGCAGCAGTGGCGGTTCTCGGCCACCGTACAACCCACCCTACGACTGCAGAACCGCAGAGCGCTGATAGAGGCGGACCAAGTGGACTACAGTTTCAGATCCAAACCTCAGCTTCTCATTGGAGATGCTGTCTGACCTTCATCCAGCCTCAGCGCTCTCACTCACTCGCCGCCGCCGCCGCCGCTGCCGTGACAGAAGTCATGATTTCAGCTGCGGTACATTCCAGAAGAGTCATTTCTAATGTCTTCAGAGGAATGTGGTCGCACGGGAAAAACTCCCCTTCAACAGAGAGAGAGACCCGACAGGTGACACACACACACACAGACACACAGACACACACACACACACACACACACACAAACACACACAGAGCAGACTGTCAGCTGTCATTAACTCACTAAAACACCTAAAATAGCTGCGGGCCGTTTCACGACCTGGATGTTCGTTCGCGGCGTCATGGAAACGTCTCCTCAGGCAGGTAAAGATTTTACGACTTCACAAAGAAGCTCCTCTCTACTCCATCCTTGCCTCCTTCAAAGCTCCCTCCCTCCTCAGCTCCTTCCTTACCACCCTATCTCCTCTGAATGTTCTGAAAGTTCTAGAAAGACTTCTTCAGTTTCCTCCGTGTTTGTTAAAGTCAACTTCAGATTGAATAAAAATCCACCAACTCTACCACAGACATCAAACTGGATACAGCTGACAGCTCACCTGTTCCCCCTTCACCCACCAGAGGGCGCCACATAACTGACTGTCATTAAAACGAAAGGCAGGAACTTTGTACACAGACTTTATTATAAAATTTACAAACAGAAACTTTAAAAACCACAAATATCAAACAGAAAAACAAAATGGTCGCTCAGAAATGATGCTCCGTGGTAATGTCGGCCATGACATCATCATACGGGTCGTCCAATCCAGGAGGATCCTCGAGAGGCGGGGACAGGGGGATCATAACGGGTCTGGTTCTCCCTGTGACGATCAGACAGCAGAAGAAGAGTTAGAGTTCAAATTCAACCATCACAGACGCCTGATCAATAATCAATCAGAACTGTTCAAATTCAACCATCACAGACGCCTGATCAATAATCAATCAGAACTGTTCAAATTCAACCATCACAGACGCCTGATCAATAATCAATCAGAACTGTTCAAATTCAACCATCACAGACACCTGATCAATAATCAATCAGAACTATTCAAATATAACCATCACAGACACCTGATCAATAATCAATCAGAACTGTTCAAATTCAACCATCACAGACGCCTGATCAATAATCAATCAGAACTGTTCAAATTCAACCATCACAGACGCCTGATCAATAATCAATCAGAACTGTTCAAATATAACCATCACAGACACCTGATCAATAATCAATCAGAACTGTTCAAATTCAACCATCACAGACACCTGATCAATAATCAATCAGAACTGTTCAAATATAACCATCACAGACACCTGATCAATAATCAATCAGAACTGTTCAAATATAACCATCACAGACGCCTGATCAATAATCAATCAGAACTGTTCAAATATAACCATCACAGACGCCTGATCAATAATCAATCAGAACTGTTCAAATTCAACCATCACAGACACCTGATCAATAATCAATCAGAACTGTTCAAATTCAACCATCACAGACACCTGATCAATAATCAATCAGAACTGTTCAAATTCAACCATCACAGACGCCTGATCAATAATCAATCAGAACTGTTCAAATTCAACCATCACACACGCCTAATCAATAATCAATCAGAACTGTTCAAATATAACCATCACAGACACCTGATCAATAATCAATCAGAACTGTTCAAATTCAACCATCACAGACACCTGATCAATAATCAATCAGAACTGTTCAAATTCAACCATCACAGACGCCTGATCAATAATCAATCAGAACTGTTCAAATATTAGAGTTCAATATATTTATACCAAGTCTGTTTTGGTTCTTCTCTGACTTTCAGAACCATGAGAGGATATTTACAGACTACAGACAAACCACAGACACACAACAGACTTCAAACAGACTACAGACGCTAAAGACTGACCTATACAGAATACAGACAAACTACAGACTTTAGAAAGACTACAGACAAACTACAGACAGACCTACGCAGACTACAGACAAACTACAGACTGATAGAAAACTACAGACAGATACAGAGAAACTACAGACAAACTACAGACAGATACAGACAAACTACAGACAAACTACAGGCAGATACAGACAAACTACAGACAGATACAGACAAACTACAGGCAGATACAGACAGACTACAGACAAACTACAGGCAGATACAGACAGACTACAGACAAACTACAGGCAGATACAGACAGACTACAGACAAACTACAGGCAGATACAGACAGACTACAGACATACTACAGGTATATGATAAACACAGACTACCGACAAACTACAGAAAAATACAGATAAACGAGACAAACTACAGACAGGTTCACTCAGATTACAGACAAACTACAGACAGGTTCACTCAGATTACAGACCAACTACAGACAGGTTCACTCAGATTACAGACAAACTACACACAGGTTCACTCAGATTACAGACCAACTACAGACAGGTTCACTCAGACTACAGACCAACTACAGACAGGTTCACTCAGATTACAGACAAACTACAGACAGGTTCACTCAGATTACAGACAGGTGAATGAGGATTTTAAAGCTCCTGTTTTTTTTTATATCAGAACAGTTTTGAAGGATCCTGTTTTTGTCTCAAACCTCTAGGAGGCGCTGCTGCTGAGTTAGGATCATAAACTGTCATTTACTGGGAAATTTTTCGATAACATGCTAAAGATCGCTAACATGCTAAAGATCGCTCACATGCTAAAGATCGCTCACATGCTAAAGATCGCTAACATGCTAAAGATCGCTAACATGCTAAAGATCGCTAACATGCTAAAGATTGCTCACATGCTAAAGATCGCTGACATGCTAAAGATCGCTGACATGCTAAAGATCGCTAACATGCTAAAGATTGCTCACATGCTAAAGATCGCTCACATGCCAAAGATCGCTAACATGCTAAAGATTGCTAACATGCTAAAGATCGCTAACATGCTAAAGATCGCTCACATGCTAAAGATCGCTAACATGCTAAAGATCGCTCACATGCTAAAGATCGCTAACATGCTAAAGATCGCTCACATGCTAAAGCTCGCTCACATGCTAAAGATCGCTCACATGCTAAAGATCGCTAACATGCTAAAGATCGCTAATATGCTAAAGATCGCTAAAATGCTAAAGATCGCTCACATGCTAAAGATCGCTAACATGCTAAAGATTGCTGACATGCTAAAGATCGCTAACATGCTAAAGATCGCTAACATGCTAAAGATCGCTCACATGCTAAAGATCGCTCACATGCTAAAGATCGCTCACATGCTAAAGATTGCTAACATGCTAAAGATCGCTGACATGCTAAAGATCGCTAACATGCTAAAGATCGCTAACATGCTAAAGATCGCTCACATGCTAAAGCTCGCTCACATGCTAAAGATCGCTCACATGCTAAAGATCGCTAACATGCTAAAGATCGCTCACATGCTAAAGCTCGCTCACATGCTAAAGATCGCTCACATGCTAACGATCGCTAACATGCTTAAGATAGCTAACATGCTAAAGATTGCTGACATGTTAAAGATCGCTGACATGCTAAAGATCGCTAACATGCTAAAGATCGCTCACATGCTAAAGATCGCTCACATGCTAAAGATCGCTAACATGCTAAAGATTGCTCACATGCTAAAGATCGCTCACATGCCAAAGATCGCTAACATGCTAAAGATTGCTAACATGCTAAAGATCGCTAACATGCTAAAGATCGCTCACATGCTAAAGATCGCTAACATGCTAAAGATCGCTCACATGCTAAAGATCGCTAACATGCTAAAGCTCGCTCACATGCTAAAGATCGCTCACATGCTAAAGATCGCTAACATGCTAAAGATCGCTAATATGCTAAAGATCGCTAAAATGCTAAAGATCGCTCACATGCTAAAGATCGCTAACATGCTAAAGATTGCTGACATGCTAAAGATCGCTAACATGCTAAAGATCGCTCACATGCTAAAGATCGCTCACATGCTAAAGATCGCTCACATGCTAAAGATTGCTAACATGCTAAAGATCGCTAACATGCTAAAGATCGCTAACATGCTAAAGATCGCTCACATGCTAAAGCTCGCTCACATGCTAAAGATCGCTCACATGCTAAAGATCGCTAACATGCTAAAGATCGCTCACATGCTAAAGCTCGCTCACATGCTAAAGATCGCTCACATGCTAAAGATCGCTAACATGCTTAAGATCGCTAACATGCTAAAGATTGCTGACATGCTAAAGATCGCTGACATGCTAAAGATCGCTAACATGCTAAAGATCGCTCACATGCTAAAGATCGCTCACATGCTAAAGATCGCTCACATGTTAGCCGTTTTGGTTCCTGTATTGTTTTGTGATTGGTTGTTCAGGTGAGCGTTACCTGGCGGTCCGAGTCGGTAATGCTGTGATTTCCATGACCTCACGGTGAGGACTGTACAGATGAGGAAGAGGATCACCACCACGAGTTTAGGTATCACGGCGGGTAGAGGCCGAGTGGACTGGAGCTGAAGGTTTGGATCTGTAGGAACAAACACAACTGCGAGTACAAGTACAGTTAGGCATCGTTTGATTTTGAACGATTCCGATTCCGATTCCTCGTTTCCATTCCTGTTCCGGTCCGCTTCTTCGTCAGTGTTCAGTGGAATCTTCCTCGTTGGTGTTCGGCAGCTATGTCTTCCGGTCGGAAAACTCCGGCATCGAAACTTGGAAATCGAAATTTTAAAATTTGAACGGTACCAGGAGAATCAGAATGTTAGTAACGGGGGAGGTCCCGCCTCCTTCACCTCTGATTGGCTAGAAGCGCTGGGCTCCAATTGGTTAGTCCTTGTGGCTGATGCTGCGTTCTAGTTTCCTCTGAAGTCAGATGTCACTGAAAATGTTCCCAGCGTTTCAGTTACCAAGTCGGAAACAAGATGGCTACATCTACGAAAGTTATTTTAGCGCTAGCCTTGTCCGAACATAAGACATGCGCCAAAATAAAACTTCGGAGATACAACCATCTTGTTTCAGGCCTCCGATTTCGCTTTTTTCCGACTCGGCAACTGATGCTGCGTTTGAGTTACCTCTGAAGTCAGATGTCGGAGCTGAAAATAACGCCACAAAGTCGGCAAAGAGGAGCGCCAAAATAACTTTCGTAGATGTAGCCATTTTGTTTCAGGCCTCCGATTTCGCTTTTTTCCGACCTGGTGACTGAAACGCTGGGAGCTCGGGTGTGACGTCATTTTCGGCTCCGAGGAAACTCAAACACAGCGTCAGATTTGCGATAATGTTCTGCTCGATGTACAGAACCGGCGCTCGGCTGGAGCGTGTGATGACGTTTCACAGCCCAGATTTCCCACCCAATCAGAGGCGAAGGAGGCGGGACCTTCCCCTAATCATGTCCCGGTCCCCATCAGGGCTCGAGACTCGATGCCCAACACCGGTCACATGGTTCGAGCGATCACGTTATGATTGACATCTCTGCTGACCAATGAGGAGACCGATCACGGTGGTGCTGGAAAGTGCAGGTCTTGAAGTGTCCAGTAGAGGGTGTTGGTCTTCAGTGATCCTCCAGGTTTTTCTTTTTCGTTTGTTTCACTTCCTTTAAGAGTTTCTGTGACGTTTTGAAAATCGTCCTCGTCTTCGTTTTTGTTTTTTTTTTAAATAAAGTGAAAGAGTGAAAAAAGGAGCGATCGGCTGTGGAGGACGGTTTCTCTTCACTCACCTCTGACGAACAGCCAGCTGGGCGGAGACTTTTTATGATCTTTGACCTTACACCAGTACTGGCCCTCAGCAGACAAGGAAACACTGGGGATGGTCATGTGACCTGCAGGTCCAGTCCCAACGTTGTTTTCGCCGTTATAAAACTCAGCGTGGTGTTTGGTGGAGGTCCTGGTTCTACAGCTCAGAGTGACGTTGTCTCCAACTGTCACAGGAAGGACCGGACTCTGCAGGACCACGTCTTTTTCCGGACCTGGAGACAAAAGAGGAGAAGACAGATGGTGTTAGAGAAGAGGACAGGACAGGGTTTCTCCCAGAGACAGAGGACGTACCTGAGAGTCTGAGGACAGATTTCACAGCAGGGGGGACTGCCTGACTCCTCACTCCTGTCCTACTGAAAAAACTTCTGAACTTACAGTGAGAAACTCAAACGGTCTAAACACTCCAATGTCCAGAAACTTCATATTTGTCATCACAGTCATAGCACCACCTGGTGGCCACATGAAACTCCAGGCTTGAAGGGATATTCCGACGTAAAATTAATGTAGGGTCAAACACCGAGTCAGACCCCGCCCCCAGTGATGAATGTTGTCGACCGCTTCCTTCTCTAGTTATACCAACTTTAGTAACGACCGCAGGATAGAAATACAGAGAGCCACGCCCCCAACCAAAACGCCACTCTATAGACACAAATAATGCTCAGAACAGCACCTAACTTCATCAACAGGACATATAGGGTCACAGACATAGTACTAGATTCAGAAAACATGAACTTAAGCGGGGGCGTTTCTCCACCTCTGTAGTCTATAATCTGGGCCAATAAACTTCTACTGTAGTAAAATGAAAAGGTAAAGGTGTTTTTATTGAGCCGAATTATCAATAAAATCATGATTTTGTTAACAGGTATGGATTTATGTGCTGTCGAGTTAATATATTTGAACAAGAGCACAGTAAAGTTAAATCAGCTAATTTTCCAATGAGGTTCTGTTACTGAACGGAACTACACCATGTTCTACTGAGGTTAGTACATATAGGGTCACAGACATAGTACTAGACACCAAACATCTTTTTAACTTTGACTCATTTCTTTAACAAAGAGACTAAACACAACTCACCTACTCTCTTCCAGCAGACGCTTGTTTGTAGAGAGACCTCAGGCCAGTCCATTACGGACTACAGCGGGGTGACACAGCTCAAGGAAGAACATTTATGATCATTTCTAAATGTTCTTCCTTGAGCTGTGTCACCCCACTGTAGTCCGTAATGGACTGGCCTGGTAATCCTCTCCTTATTTGGTAAAAACACCAGAGGAGACCTTTAGGAAAATCACAGGTTTGAGGGTCAGGGTTTGAGGGTCAGGGTTTGAGGGTCAGGGATTGAGGGTCAGGGTTTGAGGTTTTAGGGTGTGGCTGCTGCAGCTTGTCAAAGTTTGATGTCTCGCCCTGTAACAGGAAGTTACCATGAAACTAAGGTACCGGGTTTGAACGGTCTCTAACGTCATGAGTATGATCGGAGACTCTTGGTCTGAACATCTTAGTATCATTAGTGCTCTGTGGTCACAGCTCCACCTGCTGGTCAGAGACAGGAAGCTCAGATCTCCCTGTCTCTAATCGGAGACCTGCTGTTGCGTTACCGTGGACGGTGATGTCGACAGAGTTGCTCCGCTGCTTCCTTGGAGACTCACACCAGTAGATGGCGCTGTCTGACTTTTTGGTGGTGTTGAAGAAGCAGCCAGAACCAGTGGGATACCCCCACCCGTTTCCACAGGTGGACAGCTTTAACTTGGGGTAGCTGGCCCTGATGACCCTCCAGCCACGAGACCTGCTGTCCTTCCCACAGCTCAGCGTCAAGTTTTCATACTCAAAGGTATGCGAGGAGTCCGGGGACACGGAGAGCGAGACCGGTCCTGACCCGTCTATAGGAGAGGACAAAGACCTTCAGGACAAAGTCAGGTATACCAGCACAACAGCGCCCCCTCTGATCTGTGGTCAGCTACAGGACGTCTATGACTGTCCTACCACACCCTAGCAGAGAACCTCCACAGGTCAGATGAAGAACATGAACACAGCAACAAATGATCAAGATCTTTGTTCGAAACTCAAACACGAAAGAAAAACCAGTCCCTGAAGCTTTACTCCACCTTCCATCAGCAGCCAGCTGGGCTCGGAATCCTTCATGTCGTTGATTCGACATTTGTAGGCGCCTTCATGGGCCTTGGAGACGTTCTGGATGGTCATGAGGCCTGTGGGCTCGGTTCTGATCAAAGAGTTGCCTCTGTAGAAATCAGCCGCGGTTCTGGACCCCTTGGATGAACAGTTCAGAGTGACGTCATCTCCCTCCATCACAGGATGGACCGGACCCTGCAGGATCACCAGGACTGACAGAAACAAAGACAACAAAGAGTTCGACATTCCACATTTCAACTGTTGTCAGAATCTAGTTTGGGATCATCTGAAGGTCGTCCCTGAAGAAGTCTTTGTCTGGATGGACGCAGATGTTGCTCCTAAACCTGGAGATGCAGCATCTATGATTTCCAAGTCTTTGTTGAAAGGACAGTTGGACTTACTTGAGACGTTTCACCTAAGAGGCGAAACGTCTCAAGTAAGTCCAACTGTCCTTTCCAAAAGAGAGTTACCCCCAACTTCCACCTTCATCCTGAACGTCTACTAAAAGGTCGTATCCGTATCTGAAGGGCCCTCGACACATCAGGGGGGCAGGACTGTAGACCGGCACAGCCACAGGTTCTAACAGGAACTTCTATCATGACCTGGACACCAAAACAACAACAGAACCTGTCCTCAAGACTCTGCAGGGGTCTCGACTAAGTCCTGGAGTCTCTGACAGTCAGGGTTTCCTGCTCTGGTCTGAGTCACGGTCCTGACCACGGTTCACTTCCTCACACGGATGAATCACAGAGTCGCCTGTCGAAATCTTAAAACAGACAGACCATCACAGGGGGACACACAGAGTCCCCTGTGAGTCCGGTCAGACCTGGTTTCTCCTAAAGAGAGTTTTTTCTGGTTCTCACCTGTGACGGTAATGTTGACGGCGCGGCTGCTGACCCGGTGTTTGGACTCACACCAGTAAACGCCGCTGTCCGACACTTTGGTGGTGTTGATGTTGCAGCCAGAGGACGTCTTCTGTCCCCAACCCGAACCACAGGAGGACAAAATAGATTCTGGACTGGAAAAACCAGCAGACCACATGATTCCATCACACGATAGTTTTTCATCTCTGTGTTGATAAAAGTCCAATCAATGGATGGATGATCAATGATGATCAGTGATGGTTTTTATACTGGAGAAAATCTAGAATGTGTGTCGGAGGTGGTTGGAAAAGAAATGACAAAAATAAGACTCTGGTTTAATGTCAATAAATTTGAATATTAAAATTCATATTAGATTTTTATTTATAAATCTATTTTATTTATATTTATTTATTTGTATTTATTTATATTATGATATTATTATTTATATCTATTTATATTTATTTGTATTTATATTATATTTTTTATTCATTATATTTAATGTTATTATTTATATTCATATTATAGTTTTATTTATATATCTATTTTTATTTATTTATATTCATATTATAGTTTTATTTATATGTCTATATTTTTTTATTTATATTTATAATGAATTTTTATTTATATATCTATTTATATTTTTTATTTAAATTCATTTTATATTTTTATTCTCTGTATATAATATTATTATTTATATTATTATCCTTAAATATTGAACAAAAATAAAAACTTTATACTGTTGGGTCTTAAAGGTAAAAACATCGATGCTACAGTAAACATTGATAAAGTAAATGAAATAACATTTTTAGGTGATATTATTGATGATAAATTGACTGGAAATCACAAAATAATGGAATAAAAGTGAAAATAGCAAAAACGATAAACAAAGTAAAGAACTACTTTGATAATAATAAAGCTTTGTACCTCTTTTTGATTGGATTATTGTTCCATATCTGAGTTACTGTGGGGAAGTGTGCGTAAAATTTACATCCAGACAATTTTTATTTTACAAAACAGAGAAAAAACAGTGATTAGTCAATACAGAGTCCAAACCCATGACTTGTTAACCTGCAGTTGTTGAAAGTCAGTGAGTTCAAAGATTTCAGTTTGTTACAGATTATGTATAAAACTATATCAGAACATTTGACCATCAACATCCAGAGAGTCGAAGGTTTTAAATATTAACTGAAAGAAGTTTCCATGATGGTTTCTGTCAGTCTGGGGTTTGGATCTTCATCTGAGGGGCTAAGGACTCTGAGGATTGTGGGTAAGAAAAACTCACCTCTTTGTGTATCTCCACACTGTCCAATCAGGGGAGCCTAGCTGATCACAGCCAATGGAGACGTTCATGTACTCGAAAAACTGAGAGAGGTTCGGAGAGACCGTGACGGGGGCTGGAACGGAGACAGAAGACCAGTTAGAGGTTCTGGATCCTTCATCATGATCTCAAATTGTCCTCAAATTTAGGACTCAAGTCCAGGTCCTGGATTTGGAGTCCTCACCCCTGGACCCGACACTAACACCAGGGATCGACACTAACTCTGTTCACATGTTCTCCTGAGTTAAAAAAGTAAGGAACACACACAAAACTTCAATGAAAACTGATCAATAATGTTTGTCTAATTGATCGACCTTAGTACTATTATTAGAAATCAATTTCAGGTCTTTTGGTCACATGACAGTGAAGCTATTGAAGGAAAACAGCCTTTTCTGAGAACATCAACCGGTAATTTATTGACGGTCCCTTATTCAACACCGACATTGACAGTGTGGGTGTCGAGTAGATTTAACCGCGCTGCTGTTGTTATTCCTGGTTATGGAGAGTGAGAAGACACCGGTAGATCCTCAGAGAATGTCCGTCAGATATCCAACCTAAAACTAACTTCACCGCTGTATTTACAGGAAAATATATCCAACCTGAAACTAACTTCACCGCCGTATTTACAGGAAAATATATCCAACCTGAAACTAACTTCACCGCCGTATTTACAGGAAAATATATCCAACCTAAAACTAACTTCACCGCCGTATTTACAGGAAAATATATCCAACCTAAAACTAACTTCACCGCCATATTTACAGGAAAATATATCCAACCTGAAACTAACTTCACCGCCGTATTTACAGGAAAATATATCCAACCTAAAACTAACTTCACCGCCGTATTTACAGGAGAATATATCCAACCTAAAACTAACTTCACCACCGTATTTACAGGAAAATATATCCAACCTGAAACTAACTTCACCGCCGTATTTACAGGAAAATATATCCAACCTAAAACTAACTTCACCACCGTATTTACAGGAAAATATATCCAACCTAAAACTAACTTCACCACCGTATTTACAGGAAAAAATATCCAACCTGAAACTAACTTCACCGCCGTATTTACAGGAAAATATATCCAACCTAAAACTAACTTCACCGCCGTATTTACAGGAAAAAATATCCAACCTGAAACTAACTTCACCGCCGTATTTACAGGAAAATATATCCAACCTAAAACTAACTTCACCGCCGTATTTACAGGAAAATATATCCAACCTGAAACTAACTTCACCGCCGTATTTACAGGAAAATATATCCAACCTGAAACTAACTTCACCGCCGTATTTACAGGAAAATATATCCAACCTAAAACTAACTTCACCGCCGTATTTACAGGAAAATATATCCAACCTGAAACTAACTTCACCACCATATTTACAGGAGAAAAAAACATTTGTTGATCGTTTTTATTCACACATGTGACTCTAAATACATTTGACAATTCGCACACGTCTATTATTCGTCGTAAATGAGCGCCCTGGAACATGTGACCATGTGATGTTGGCTGTTTGTGGTCAGGACGCCACCGGATGAGTCCTGCTGTCCTTTTTGACGGAGGCGGAGTCAGCTGAGTTCGCCCTCAGGTCTGTCGGATCGTCTCTGAACTACGATGTTTAAAGTAAAGAGAGGCTCCGCCCACATCTGACACAGTCTGTGGTTCATACATGTCAATCATTTGATCGGGTTTATGATGTCGGATGGAAACAGGAAGTCGTCTCAGCTCTGAGGGTCGTATGTGAGGGTCTTTCTGAAGGACACTCTTAAATCCCACTGTTTGAGACGAGTCTGGGGTCTGAGGACCTCAGGGAAGACTCAGGCTGACCTTTGAACTCCCACGCCCTCTATAAACCATCAGAACTTTCTACGACCACGTCTAACGGTCAAGACTTTATCGTCTTTCAAAAACCGATAAAAAGACAAAAAACTCACCTGCAGTCCGAGCCGACGTCCGGTCCATCCTCAGCACCGACACTGGAACGACAACCAGAGCGCTCAGTGTGTGTGTGTGTGTGTGTGTGTGTGTGTGTGTGAACATTTGACCAGATCCCTCTCACCAACGACAGTCAAAGTGTAAATCTTTAAATCTAAAAACGCTCGCTCTGCTCTGAAGTACGTGAAGTTTCACGAATAAAGAGTTTTTTACTCACACAGGAACAGAAGCGTCGCTTTCATGGTGGTGCAGGCTGGAGCTTCACTGACCGTCTACAGCAGATGTGGTGAGTACATCCTGTTTGAAAACCGCGAAGAGGGGAAGGAGGATGTGAGAAAAGTCAGCCGAAAAGAGACTCACCTCAAAACTAAAGTCTGTTTTTATTGTCTGAACTCCGGAGAGTTTTCACTCAGATGTTCCTCCGGCTCTGGTTCTGCTGGTTTTTCTGTCTGAATCAAGAGAAACTGAGTCTGAAGGTTTGGGTCCCTCTGAGGGCGGACTCTGTCGAAACCACAACAACAGGCGGCATGAAACATCTGAGCACAGACCAACACGGTTTACTCTTCAGACCACAGAGTGGGCACAGGGGGGCGCTCTACCTGAATATGACAGACATGAAATCACACAGACAGAAGTCTGGCTCCGCCCAAAGGATATCAGCTGATCCTGCTCAGCTGTTGACCTTTGACTCATTAAAGGTCAGCTGTAAATCGTCCCTCTGAAGGTTTTTGGGTCCCTGGTCCGCCTCCTCTTCCTTTGCTGGTTCTCTCCCGTCCTTCTGGTCCAGCTGAGTCTGGTTTTAAGGTCTCTCATGGGTTGTCCCTGACCCGGTTCTGCTCTGAACCCTCAGGAGTTTTGGTTCTCTGCTTTAGTTTTACAGTAAAAACAGAGGAAGGACAGGTGTGCTCCACCTGGACCAGACTTCAGGTTTCACAAACACACATGGAGAGGCTGGGATCCCTCAGAACACACCGGACCACCAAACACACCTAAATCATCCAGAAACTAGTTTAGTCTAGTTTAGTTTAGTTTAGTTTAGTAAAGTTAAGTAAAGTTAAGTTAAGTTAAGTTAAGTTAAGTTAAGTTTAGTTTACTTTAGTTTAGTTTAGTAGTTTAGTTTAGTTTAGTAAAGTAAAGTTAAGTTAAGTTAAGTTAAGTTAAGTTAAGTTTAGTTTACTTTAGTTTAGTTTAGTTTAGTCTAGTTTAGTTTAGTTTAGTTAAGTTTAGTTTAGGTTAGTAAAGTTAAGTAAAGTAATGTAAAGTACAGTAAAGTAAAGTAAAGTTAAGTTAAGTTAAGTTTAGTTTACTTTAGTTTAGTTTAGTTAAGTAAAGTTAAGTTTAGTTAAGTTTACTTTAGTTTAGTTTAGTTTAGTTTAGTTTAGTTTAGTTTAGTTAAGTTAAGTTTAGTTTAGTTTAGTAAAGTTAAGTTAAGTTAAGTTAAGTTTACTTTAGTTTAGTTTACTTTAGTTTAGTTTAGTTTAGTCTAGTTTAGTTTAGTTTAGTTTAGTCTAGTTTAGTTTAGTTAAGTTTAGTTTAGTCTAGTTTAGTTTAGTTTAGTTTAGTTTAGTCTAGTTTAGTTTAGTCTAGTTTAGTCTAGTTTAGTTTAGTAAAGTTAAGTTAAGTTAAGTTAAGTTAAGTTAAGTTTAGTTTACTTTAGTTTAGTTTAGTCTAGTCTAGTTTAGTTTAGTAAAGTAAAGTAAAGTAAAGTTAAGTTTAGTTTAGTTTACTTTAGTTTAGTCTAGTTTAGTTTAGGTTAGTAAAGTAAAGTAAAGTAATGTAAAGTACAGTACAGTAAAGTAAAGTTAAGTTAATTTAAGTTTAGTTTACTTTAGTTTAGTTAAGTTTAGTCTAGTTTAGTTTAGTTAAGTTTAGTTTAGTTTAGGTTAGTAAAGTAAAGTAAAGTAAAGTAAAGTTAAGTTTACTTTAGTTTAGTTTACTTTACTTTAGTTTAGTTTAGTCTAGTTTAGTTTAGTTTAGTCTAGTTTAGTTAAGTTAAGTTTAGTCTAGTTTAGTTTAGTTTAGTTTAGTCTAGTTTAGTTTAGTCTAGTTTAGTTTAGTTTAGTTTAGTTTAGTTAAGTTTAGTCTAGTTTAGTTTAGTTTAGTTTAGTTTAGTTTAGTCTAGTTTAGTTTAGTTTACTTTAGTTTAGTTTAGTCTAGTTTAGTTTAGTTTAGTTTAGTTTAGTCAAGTTTAGTTTAGTTTACTTTAGTTTAGTTTAGTTTAGTCTAGTTTACTTTAGTTTACTTTAGTTTAGTTTAGTTTAGTTTAGTCTAGTTTAGTTTAGTTTAGTTTTGTTTAGTTTAGTTAAGTTTAGTCTAGTTTAGTTTAGTCTAGTTTAGTTTAGTTTACTTTAGTTTAGTTTAGTCTAGTTTAGTTTAGTCTAGTTTAGTTTAGTTTAGTTTAGTCTAGTTTAGTTTAGTTTACTTTAGTTTAGTTTAGTTTAGTCTAGTTTAGTTTAGTCTAGTTTAGTTTACTTTAGTTTAGTTTAGTCTAGTTTAGTTTAGTTTAGTCTAGTTTAGTTTAGTCTAGTTTAGTTAAGTTTAGTCTAGTTTAGTTTAGTTTAGTCTAGTTTAGTTTAGTCTAGTTTAGTTAAGTTTAGTCTAGTTTAGTTTAGTTTAGTCTAGTTTAGTTTACTTTAGTTTAGTTTAGTCTAGTTTAGTTTAGTTTAGTTTAGTCTTTTGGTTCTGATGATTCTGTGAACCTCTGTTTTTATTGGAGTTGGACTGGGTCAGGTCCAGGTCCAGGTCCAGGTCCAGGTCCAGGGGAGTGGACATGGGTCATGGAGAGTTGGGGGTTTAGATAAAGTGAAGGTTCAATAGAGTGAGGAAGAGGCTCAGACCAAATCTTGTCAGCGGGTCAAATTCACTGAGTCCTCCAGAGTCCAGAACACTTGTAAAGTCTCAGGTTCAGGTCCCACTGAGTCGAGTCAGAGAATCGAGACTCAGTGGAACCAAACCCAGTCCAGTAGAGTAGGGTTTGGTGGAGAGGAGTGGGCTCAGGTGAGGTCAGGTGGAGGCAGCAGGGACCAATCAGAGGTTGACTCATAGATATTAAGAATAAGTTGAAAAGGTGGGCGTGTCCGTACGGAGGCAGCAGCGCGTTGACCCCCGAGGTCACTTATCTCTGTTCGCTGATTTATTAACGGAAGCTGGGCGGGGGTCCGAGGTGTGAACCTGAGACAGCAGAGAAACAGACAAACAGGAAACACTGAGTGTGAGACGAAACTGAAGACAGAGATGAGTGTGTGCTGATAGGAGCTGTGAAGGGGGCGGAGCCAAACACCTCAGACAGACCAGAAAAGGTCGGCGCCATCTTTGTTTGTGTCTCTGGCTTCACCCCAGACTGACACCGCCTGATCGAAAACCACTCTGAGCTCCAGTCCCAGAGTACCACAGAGAACCACAGAGAACCACAGAGTCCCACAGAGTCCCACAGAGAACCACAGAGTCCCACAGAGAACCACAGAGTCCCACAGAGAACCACAGAGAACCACAGAGAACCACAGAGAACCACAGAGTACCACAGAGTCCCACAGAGTCCCACAGAGAACCAGAGAACCCAAAGTACCACAGAGAACCACAGAGTCCCACAGAGAACCACAGAGAACCACAGAGTCCCACAGAGTCCCACAGAGAACCAGAGAACCCAAAGTACCACAGAGAACCACAGAGTCCCACAGAGAACCACAGAGAACCACAGAGTACCACAGAGTCCCACAGAGAACCAGAGAACCCAAAGTACCACAGAGAACCACAGAGTACCACAGAGAACCACAGAGAACCACAGAGTACCACAGAGAACCACAGAGAACCACAGAGAACCACAGATAACCCAAAGTACCACAGAGTACCACAGAGAACCACAGAGTACCACAGAGAACCACAGAGAACCACAGAGTACCACAGAGAACCACAGAGTACCACAGAGAACCCAAAGTACCACAGAGTACCACAGAGAACCACAGAGAACTCAAAGTACCACAGAGTACCACAGAGAACCACAGAGTCCCACAGAGAACCACAGAGAACCAACGAGTACCACAGAGAACCACAGAGAACCACAGAGAACCACAGAGTACCACAGAGAACCCAAAGTACCACAGAGTACCACAGAGAACCACAGAGTCCCACAGAGAACCACAGAGAACCACAGAGTACCACAGAGAACCACAGAGTACCACAGAGAACCCAAAGTACCACAGAGTACCACAGAGAACCACAGAGTACCACAGAGAACCACAGAGAACCACAGAGTACCACAGAGAACCACAGAGTACCACAGAGAACCCAAAGTACCACAGAGTACCACAGAGAACCACAGAGAACTCAAAGTACCACAGAGTACCACAGAGAACCACAGAGAACCCAAAGTACCACAGAGTACCACAGAGAACCACAGAGTACCACAGAGAACCACAGAGAACCACAGAGTACCACAGAGAACCACAGAGTACCACAGAGAACTCAAAGTACCACAGAGTACCACAGAGAACTCAAAGTACCACAGAGACCCACAGAGTCCCACAGAGAACCACAGAGTCCCACAGAGAACCACAGAGAACCAACGAGTACCACAGAGAACCACAGAGAACCAACGAGTACCACAGAGAACTACAGAGAACCACAGAGTACCACAGAGAACCCAAAGTACCACAGAGTACCACAGAGAACCACAGAGTCCCACAGAGAACCACAGAGAACCACAGAGTACCACAGAGAACCACAGAGTACCACAGAGAACCCAAAGTACCACAGAGTACCACAGAGAACCACAGAGTACCACAGAGAACCACAGAGAACCACAGAGAACCACAGAGTCCCACAGAGAACCACAGAGAACCAACGAGTACCACAGAGAACCACAGAGTACCACAGAGAACCCAAAGTACCACAGAGTACCACAGAGAACCACAGAGAACTCAAAGTACCACAGAGTACCACAGAGAACCACAGAGAACCCAAAGTACCACAGAGTACCACAGAGAACCACAGAGAACCACAGAGTACCACAGAGAACCACAGAGTACCACAGAGAACCCAAAGTACCACAGAGTACCACAGAGAACCACAGAGAACTCAAAGTACCACAGAGAACCACAGAGAACCACAGAGAACCACAGAGAACCAACGAGTACCACAGAGAACCACAGAGAACCAACGAGTACCACAGAGAACCACAGAGAACCACAGAGAACCACAGAGTCCCACAGAGAACCACAGAGAACCAACGAGTACCACAGAGAACCACAGAGAACCAACGAGTACCACAGAGAACCACAGAGAACCACAGAGTACCACAGAGAACCACAGAGTACCACAGAGAGAACTCAAAGTACCACAGAGAACCACAGAGAACCACAGAGTACCACAGAGAACCACAGAGAACCAACGAGTACCACAGAGAACCACAGAGAACCAACGAGTACCACAGAGAACCACAGAGAACCAACGAGTACCACAGAGAACCACAGAGAACCACAGAGAACCACAGAGTACCACAGAGAACCCAAAGTACCACAGAGTACCACAGAGAACCACAGAGTCCCACAGAGAACCACAGAGAACCACAGAGTACCACAGAGAACCACAGAGTACCACAGAGAACCCAAAGTACCACAGAGTACCACAGAGAACCACAGAGAACCACAGAGTACCACAGAGAACCACAGAGAACCACAGAGAACCACAGAGTACCACAGAGAACCACAGAGTACCACAGAGAACCCCAAAGTACCACAGAGTACCACAGAGAACCACAGAGAACCCAAAGTACCACAGAGTACCACAGAGAACCACAGAGAACCCAAAGTACCACAGAGTACCACAGAGAACCACAGAGTCCCACAGAGAACCACAGAGAACCACAGAGTACCACAGAGTACCACAGAGTACCACAGAGAACCCAAAGTACCACAGAGTACCACAGAGAACCACAGAGTCCCACAGAGAACCACAGAGAACCACAGAGTCCCACAGAGAACCACAGAGAACCACAGAGAACCACAGAGTCCCACAGAGAACCACAGAGAACCACAGAGTCCCACAGAGAACCACAGAGAACCACAGAGAACCACAGAGTACCACAGAGAACCCAAAGTACCACAGAGTACCACAGAGAACCACAGAGTACCACAGAGAACCACAGAGAACCACAGAGAACCACAGAGTACCACAGAGAACAACAGAGTACCACAGAGAACCCAAAGTACCACAGAGTACCACAGAGAACCACAGAGAACCCAAAGTACCACAGAGAACCACAGAGAACCCAAAGTACCACAGAGAACCACAGAGTCCCACAGAGAACCACAGAGAACCACAGAGTACCACAGAGAACCAAATAGCAAACATCCAGACCTCAGTACACCCTCCTCCTCCACAGACCCGGGTCTCTGTTAGAACCATAGCCTCACCTCTGATTGGTTCAAATCCGTCCAAACTGGAATCCAATCAGAACAGCGCCCCCCTGAGGCCAGTGGGCACAGCTGTTTTTGTTTTCGTCTCAAAGAGTGGGAACAGGAACCAGGAACCAGATTGTTCATGGATGTTTTATTGATCTTTATTGTTTTGAAAAAGTTTCATTAAACATGATTGACAGGTCAGTTTGAGAACAGAGACAAACATTCATGATGAAGACGATACATGAAGAGTCTGGATTAAAGTCATTATGAAGTCAATTATTAAAGCGGATTAATGAGCGCTCACCTGCTCACCTGTACACCTGTTCACCAACTTCATCAACAGGACATACAGGGTCACAGACATAGTACTATATTCAGAAAACATGAACTTAAGAGGGGGCGTTTCTCCACTTCTGTAGTCTATAATCTGGGCCAATAAACTTCTACTGTAGTAAAATGAAAAGGTAAAGGTGTTTTTATTGAGCCGAATTATCAATAAAATCATGATTTTGTTAACAGGTATGGATTTATGTGCTGTCGAGTTAATATATGTGAACAAGAGCACAGTAAAGTTAAATCAGCTAATTTTCCAATGAGGTTCTGTTACTGAACAGAACTACACCATGATCTACTGAGGTTAGTACATATAGGGTCACAGACATAGTACTAGACACCAAACATCTTTTTAACTTTGACTCATTTCTTTAGCAAAGAGACTAAACACAACTCACCTACTCTCCTCCAGCAGACGCTTGTTTGTAGAGAGACCTCAGGCCAGTCCATCACGGACTACAGCGGGGTGCCGCAGCTCAAGGAAGAACATTTATGATCATTTCTTCATGGAAATACAATCAGACCGAGACGCTAAGTCAGAAGAACTACAGCGTCTGTAAAATGATTAATATGATGATTATAACTTCAAGGAAATGATGAAGAAATGATCATAAATGTTCTTCCTTGAGCTGCGTCACATTATCACTTATTGCTGCATCATTAAAAACACACGAAGGTTCGACATACAGACCTGTGACTACATCTAAAGGCTCACTCAGGTACTCGGTTAAAAACATTTACGAGGTTTTATCCAATCAGAAGCCTCATAACTTGCTCTCTAGAGTGGCGTTGTCTTTTTCCTGACCCGCGCTGTGATTGGTCTGATTGGTGGCTCCGCCCTCTGTCTCATCTGTTGAAGAAAGATACAGACTACTTGTCAAACTCTGAAATATCGACCAGTTCATTCATTCATGTGTGAGGAAGAGGTTCAAGCGCCGGTTATCTCGACAAATGTCCCCACAAGTAGAGGAAGTCTGTCTATGATGTGTGTGTGGACTGACCTTTGACCTGTTGGGCCAGGAGGCGGGGTCCTGCCAGGCCAATGCCCAGAGCGCCGACAGGAGCCGTGGTCAGGATGGCTAACACGGCTAACGTTAGCACGTCCAAACCAAACTTAATGAAAGTCTCGTCCCCCTTGTCCCTCGCCATGTCCAACGCCTTGGAGCCAATCGCAGCCTAGAATGGACAAAGACACACAGACACACAGACAGAAGAGTTGGACGGACAGTGGACACTTGGACTGAACACTGAGTCCTCTGATCCGATCCCTTCAGGGCGGTTCATCGGAGCGACAGACAGGCTGCTTGCGGTTGCCAGATTGGGCGACTTTCCTCGAAATATGAAGGTGTGTTTACGGCGTGTTTTAGCCGGGGTTTGGCCCGGAAGGTTCTGGACATCTGACACACCTGTGAACAGAATTTAGAACGCCGCTCACAGACGCCAGAATGAGCGCGTTCAACACCGACGTGTTCAAACGCAGATAAAGAACGACACGTTAACGGAGGTCATGAACGATGGTTACGGTTGTGGGGATCACTGTGGAGGTTCTACGGGGTTCTACGGTATCTTTCAGAGTGAGTAGTTTGAGGGGTCCAGTGGGTGGTTCTGGTCTGATTGGGGTTCTGTAGCTACAGACCTG